GAGCGATATCAGCAATATCAGCCGTAGCAACAGCAAACGACAGCAGCACCAATTGTAAATTACACATATCAGAGAAAACGTTGTAACCAATGGCATTTGGTATGTATGGCACTCGAAAAACCATATTGGATTTTTCATATTTTCTCTCTCTCTCTCTCTCTCTCTCTCTCTCTCTCTCTCTCTCTCTCTCTTTTCGTTCTTTCATCGTCGTCGTTGTATTTTTTCGCTGTGCATTTTTATTTCATGTTAATAATAAATATTCCGATTTGCGAGCAAGCAATCGTTTTATTCTCTCCAGCTCTCGCTCACTCACTCACTCAACCATCGATTTCGGTGTTTGTTCGCCGCGTTGCTATCGCAATAAACGAGGAAATTTTATGACTTTTCTGACTTGAGTGTATATATATATATGTGAACTGAACCGCATCAACTGATGACAGCCCAAGCAAATAAAACAACAACAACCAAAAATGATCCGACATGAATTTTGCAAAGCAGCGAAAGTACAGTAAGAATTTTCATTCGGTATGTATTACGTGATGTATGCGCTAAAACTAGATCGAATGTATACGTAACATGCTATTAGTAAATGGCGTATTTATGACAATTTCGTTTTTGGCTCACAAACAGAAAATAAAAATCGAATTAAGCGCCGGCGATATTGACGAAATTTATATTTGCAATAGACAAAAGGTTATCAATAAAAGCGCGGTAAATCGCGCGCACGAATGACGCTATAAAACGGTCGAATATCATTTTCAATGAGATATTCCTGGCCATCATTAGATTGACAGTTTATTTCTGTTGTTGTTGTTGTTGTCGGAGTCTATGCCGATATTTCGAGGCCATTACATAACGTTACACTACGATCAGACAGTGAACTGAAGTACGGAGTCATATTAAAAGCAACAACAGTGAGCCGCCAGTAATAAAATGCGTGTGAAATGACACACACGCACATATGAAGAGGCGGGGAGAGAGCGAGAGCTCTCAGTAAGAGTGAGCAAGATAGACGTAGATAGACAAAAATATGAATGACATTGAATAAAGTGGCCCATTGGCATAATGTAACACAGTTCAGCTGTTAAACATCGAAGGGAAATCGCTATATATAGAGGTAATGTATTAAAAATGGCCAAATAATAGTGGTTGAACATCTTCTCTAAATCTATGTGATTATATGATGGCCACAACATTGTGGCCACTTTTATCCCATGCTGCAATAAGCAGCATAAGCCATATTTGGTGAAATTCTCTCACACCCATGAAGCCATTGAATCAGAAACCACACAATGACTCAATTGTATCATTTGAATCGGAACGAGACGATGGCAACGACGGTGTTCCGGCGAGAAATGGAGATGTGAAATCAAGACAATCATCTCGGAAAATGAATGATCAACGTCAACTTTTCCAAGTGATTCATGTCTTTTTTTTTGAAGTTTTCACCACGTAAATTATGTTTATGTATTTTACCATGATTTTTTCATAACTTTGCAATTTTAATTTCTTTTCAAAATGAAGAAAAAAAACCATCCAACATACAAAAGCCTCGCCTTCCAACCGAAAAACAAAGAAAAAACTTTGAATTTTTGTTATTCACGCAATGGTCTAGTAAATATAGCCATAAAGCGCGAGTGTCGCCGACGAATAAAAAAAAACACATGCTGCAAATGAATTTCGTCAAAAGGAGAGCGAAGAAAAAAAATAACAACGAACAGTAAAGCAGCAAAATGAAAGAAAAGCAGCAACAGAAACACAAGTTAATTAAATGCGAGCTCATGTATACAAATTTGATTAAAATGACGACGTACACACAACCGCAACACCAAAGAACCGACCAAGAAAAGTACACACACATACAAAAGAAAAGGTGGCCAGTCGCCTATGAGCCATTTATAAATGAGTACACGTAATATAACGTGCGTCTTAAGTAAAGAAAAATGTTTTTCGTTACCATTTGTCTCACTTATTTCACATTATTCACTGTTTTTCTCCCTACTTTTTCTTCTCTCATTTCATTCTGTTTGTCCACCTTTTTCAGTTGATTTTTTTTTCTTTTCAGCTAGTAAAACAGAAAAGGTAAACTATACTGTTTTCAGTGTATAACTTTCATTGGGGACATTTTTTTTATAATTGTAATAAATCGCAACTTTTCCTAAGCATGTGTTTTTTTCGCTGTTTTTCGTCATATTGACGACTGTAACAAAATGTAAACACCTTTAGTTCTACTGCTGTTTGTTGGTGCTGGTGCGATATCGCCCAGAAAAAAGCCGTGAAACTGAATTGGCTGCGAAATAGCTACGAAAGTAAATATGTAAATGGATGGAGAGATGGAGAACGAATTAGTTTGGCGATTCACTCTCGCGTGGTTCAATGAAACACTTAATTACATTTCGAACTGAACGAACGAAAAAATTTCGTCTGTGTTTACAATTTGCGTTCGACTTGAGAACCGTGGTTATGCTCTTCGTGGCTCTTTTTTTTCTCGTTGTGTAATCAAGTGGCTGACACACAAACATACAAACAGAGAGGAAAAAACAGAACAAATTTTGACTAACTTAACTGAATGCGGTACGCATGAAGTGAGTTGGATTGATCAAAAGAAGAGTTGAGGGGAAAAAAAATGTAGCTATAAAGTTCCAATCCAAAATCACATGGTCCTGAGAATGCATATCTTGCCAACTGATGCATGCCGATCTGCTCTCTCTCTCTCACTCTCTCTCTCTCTCTCTCTCTCACACTCTCTCTTTGCGTGTGTGTGTGTTTGTGAGTGCATCGTAAAAGGTGAATGCAGTCTTCATTCGAGTCAACATCGTAGACGCGAATAATTCTCATGTTGGTGTGTACATGAAATCTAGGTTTTGTCGGTGTCATTTTCTATATGTGGTTGTGTTATAATGCAACAGCGCGCAATCGAAAAGCCAAATGGCAACGATACAACGACGGCTGGCGAGTATATTCGTGTTTGCCCAACATTATAGCGAGACGAGTAGAGTAGAACAAAAAAGCCAAATATACGCCGCAATAAACGAAGTTGTTTTGGTTAGTTTTTTTCAATGTCTTCGTCGACACTCAATTGCGGAAGGGTCTTTTTTACTTGTATGTGCATCGCTCTTGAATGTGACGCGGTAATGCTGTACATTGTACGTATATATACGTGTGTGCAGAAAATGCTTCGATTCACTTGCGACTTGAAAAATTCATTGTGTGCGAGTTCCCTCGATTTTTATTTTACGTGTTTTTTTTCTTGCCTTTTCGTCCCATTTGAAGCATGCATCATACACACAGGCAGAGGGCACACACTTGTGTGTTCATATGAGAAAGTTTTCATTCCTGTTTTTACGTTTTACTCTCTCATCATCAAGGGAATAAACATAACAAAAGGCACCTACAGAACGAATGAAAATGAAAAAAAAAAATACCAAGAAGGCAATAAGAAATACTCATAAGATCATAAAAACAGCAGAATGCTGAAGAGGAACAAAAACCAATAGCAACAACGATATTAAAATCGAAAGAATGCAGGACACACATTCGAATGTATGCGAGTGAGTGTGTGAGTGTGTGTATGTATGGCTGAGACCGGTGTGCGTAGCGTGTATTTTGTTCAATCTTGAGAAACGATTAAAAACATTGTAGAATGGATGGCAAACGAAGAGGAAGATGAACATCCAACGAACACACACAATGAATTACTTCATCGATTCGGTCTGACTCTTACCATTAAATGAACGTTGTTGCTACGTTTTTTTTCCTTCATCATACTCTACCTCTTATTCTCATACACTTTACTCTATTGGTTATGTTCTTGCGAGATATTTGAGATAGTTTCATTTTTATCTCGGTTGGTTCTCGTTTCGTCTCCACACAAAACGGACATTATTAAATCACCGAGAATGTGCGTTTGGATAAATCAAAGATAAATTAACACGCTTCGAGGAGAATAAATTGTGAACGATCAACAGCCGACATCGGGCGACACTATCTACTCGACCACTACAAACCAACCTTTTTGAATAGACGAAAATCCCGACAAAAATCGACCTGGCAAATTATCTAACACCCAACAGAAAATTTTGGGTTCTATCTCTCTTCTTCCGACTCAATACATGGCCAAGATCATTGGGATTAAGACCGTTTTGTACTATCATTCTTACTGTGTGTGAGATGCGGCATAATTATTTGATCTTTGCCTTTATTGTTGCTCAATGCTTGTTTTTAATTTGATTTTTTTTTCGTCGTTTTTTTTCCTGATTCTGTCTAGATCTACTAATTCTCTGCCGGTGAATCTCTGTCTCTGACCTGCTGCATTTCGTTTCGAATTTCAACACTTTCAAAAGCGAACAATTGCACCGAACGGCAATTTATTAACATAAACTAGCTATTCATTTCGATTGTCCAATTCATTTATGTTATGAGTCGTGTGGCTAATCCATTTTTTTTTCTCTCTTTTAGTCAGAGTTTTCATCAATGAAATTTATTCAATCGCCTGAAACAACATCGAAAAATACCTGACTGAAGGAAAAAGTCACAAATTAGAATGTTTATCATTCCGTTTATGAGCGTTGCTGATTGAGTTTGAATGAAAGAAATTTCAACGACATTCGTCGTTCAAAGGAATGAAAGTCAGAAAAAATGAATTGAAATGAAATGGAGAATAGCCGAAAAGAAAAGAACGGTTAAAAAAAAGAATGAGCCACATAATTAGCGTAATAATTGTATGTATATGTTTATTTAGTGTGGCTTTTGTACGAGTTTTCCCATCGTGGAAAACAATCTGCCTATTTTTGATTCATTAATTTTTTTTTAGTTCTTCTTTATGTTCTATATTGTGATTCTTTTCCATATTCCCTACTAACTATTCCCTACTAGTAAGACACACTGGTTGTGGCAAAGTGGCCGTGTTTGTGTGTATCTTTTTCAGTTTGTTTGCATTTCGATTTTGCTTTTGCTTGAAAGAAAAGAAGATGTGTTTATAGTTGTTTTGTATTGTTTACCTTTTATTATCGCTTTTTAATTGTTGTGCCCAAACTGTTGTCGGTGTAATTCTATCCACTGGTTTTATTTTTGTTTCACACACTTTTCACGAGAAAAAAAAACAATTGAATCAAATGGTATTATTGAATGAAACAAATGGTTGGAATTGGTGAATTCAACGGTGTCAATAGGAAAATGGCAGTCGCTTTTTTCTTTAGATGTTTCTTTATTTTCTGCTTCTTCTTTTTGTTACACACTCTATAAGCAATCGCGCACTGTTCTTTTACTTTTTATTTGACTATTGTTATTGTAATAAACAATTTCCTTCCGAATCTGATTACGTTTATCTATTCGTTTTTCTTTTATTTGTATTATTTTTTTTTTCGTTTTTACTTCGGGAAAACTGGTAATTTTGTTGTCGTGATAAATTACAGAGTCGGACACAACAAGGATTCTTTACTTCTTCTTCTTCGTGGTCGTCGTCGTTGGTTTCGGATTTACGGCGGTTCGCGCAAACATAAAACCGTCACATTAAGTAGTAATAAATTATATTCTTTGTAACAAAGTTCTCGGTTGTATTGCCTTTGAATTTGGTGGATTTATTTCCTGCTTCTTTTTTCTTCTTCTTATACTTGCTTCAATGAAAACGGTGTTCAACTTTTAAATTTTCTTCCTCTTTCTTTCGCGCCCAAAGACGTGACTTGATAAACACACCGCAATTGTCAAATAAGTGATTTATTCTTTCTATTCACACAAAGCGGCCGCCTTTACGCGCGCCTTTTTAATTTGCCGATTTTATTTAATGAGCTTCGATTTATATATAGATATTCGAGACCGTCTAATCAAACCAAAAAAAAAAATGCAATCAAAACAAACTGCACTCTCGGTCAATCGCTGCAAATGGAATGTAAACACGACACCGTTCTCTTGATTCTCGTTGCGCTTTTTTTCTCTCTCGCTCCTTTTCGTTCAATGAACACTGTGTTGTGGGTGCGATCCTCGTCTCCTTTATCGATTTTCTCACAACGGTCACGTACCGCATGCAATGTTTCGTTCAATTTCAATGGTCTAAATTTAGAATCGGGTGTCCTTTCCACGATAGAAAACAAAAAGTGCACCGTGTAGTTTTTTTTGGATTGCAAAACGACAAATTATTTAAACAAATCCTTTTGCTGTGTGAATTCGTTTTCGATTTTCCGAGATTATCAATTTGGTTTATGTAGAACGAAATCGCAGCGGCCTTTTGCCGACACACGATTCTGTCACGAGATTTTCAGTCGATTTGTTCACACGCTTTTATTTATCAAACCAATCAAACTTCTTGCTTTTAAAATATTGAATTATTCTCTCACAAACTTGTATTCACTCGATGAAAATTCAAAACAATTTTTTTTCCACAGCTCGTTTTGCCGCACTTGACTTTTGGTTGCGTTTTGTTTAGCGCCACGGATTTGCTCAAAACAATAACATTCACGGCTTATTATTTGCAACGATGAAAACAAAATGGCAAATCAAGAAAAAAAAGAGTCACAAAACAAACGGAAAAATTGATTGGTTTCTTTTCTCGAAATGCGAAAAAAGTATGAAAAAATGAACCAAAAATTTATCTCAAAGTGAACGACAGAGTGAACCTGTGCACTATGGAAAAGTGAGTTGTATCCTTTCCAATGGTTGTTCTTCAAATCGCTTGTATTATTTGTGTGTTATTTTTTTTTTCGTTACTCTCTAGCGTAGTTAGTATGGAATATATACCATCCACAAATACACATACGAAACCGTCCTACGAGCTGAACAGTCAACGAGCGTCTATCGCTCAATTTTGAGAATTTTCTTCATTCAGTCGGTGATTTCGTACACAGCGCAGCGTACATGTGTGCGTATATCGTGGCGCACCATGTGTGCATGTGTGCGTGGAAGAGAGAGTATGGGCGAGAGAGCGAGCGCCGTAACAATGTTATGATGGGCTTTGTAGTTGATTTCACGGACAATCTAGTTTGAATTCTCAACTCGATTCGATGTTTTTCAACAGATGGCGTGCGAGTTGAATGAGAGATGTGCTGCAAAGAATGATTGTGTTTCATCAAAACATTCGGTCAATTGGAAAGAGTGCGATTAGCGGCACTTGATTTCTACCAGAATTGGGTGGTTCGATGCGTTTTTAAGCGGAACTAAATCAAAGGATATACTTACATCACTTTATGCTTGCCACTTTGCTTAATGCTTACCGTTTTAATGCGAGGATTAATCAAATGAGAAAAGTTCATGTGGTTAATGTGACCACTGCTGAATGTACAGTAAAATTGATCCGATGATAGAATAAAAATCAACAATTCAAACCTCAATCTATTTCAGCTATTCGTTACTTACATTTTTTTTCCTCTTTCTACATCACCATTCGTCCGAGGCTAAATTAAAATCACACCAAAAGTGCACACACTGGTGAAAATGGTGTGTTGCTCCTTAAAATCAGAAAAGTTATCTATTCATTCAACAATTTCGCGTTTGCACCGCAATACAGACACAATTTGGTTTTTCTTTAGTTATAACGTGGTATTTTTTCTTTATTCAAAACTTTGTTGTTGTTGTTTCTCTTCGTTTTCGAAATACAATGGAAATTTAGATGTTAAGAAATTTCACAAAAAAAAATGCAATTTTTTTTCACATTGAAATGAATCGCACACGCGAACGCCAAACCATTTTCGGTTGAAAACGAAAACGATGCGTGAACGAAAAGAAAAACAGCAACAAACGGGCGTTGAGTTGAATGGATCTACTTCAACTTCTTCTTTGGGCGCAAATTGTTGGTGTGTCCGCACTTCTTCTTACGGCAATTTGTTGCTCTTGGATGCAAACGAGCGTAGCATTTACGGCAAATCATCTTGTCGCAGTTGTATTTTTGGGCCAAAATACGAAGAGATGGTTCAATGATACCACCACGAAGACGCAACACCAAATGCAATGTTGATTCCTTTTGGATGTTGTAGTCGGACAATGTGCGACCATCTTCCAATTGTTTGCCGGCAAAGATCAAACGTTGTTGATCGGGTGGAATGCCCTCTTTGTCTTGGATTTTAGCTTTGACATTTTCGATAGTGTCTGATGGTTCGACCTCAAGTGTGATGGTCTTGCCGGTAAGGGTTTTCACGAAAATCTGCATCTTTCGTACGTGTTGTTCTAACCTGAAACAACAACAACAAAAAAACACAGAAAAAAAACGAAATTAATCACTTGAAACTCAACCGAATGCGAAGAAAATCACATAAAATTCGCGTCAAATTGAACGAGACAGAAAAATTTGTTGCGACAAAGTATGTTAGTTGCGCACGATGTGAGTGTGTTCACATGGAAAGGTTATGTCTTCTGCACAATAACACAAAACACATAAATTTTCCACAAAATTCCAAATTTTCATGCAAACCAACATATTCCCTCACAGTAACCTTCGGCCAATTTACAATTTCAGCGAATTTTTTTGCAGAAATTCGTAAATTTTACCGAAAAATTTAATAATTTTATCGGAGCACTCACCAAACTAAACGTGGTACAGAATGCCACTTTGATAGAAAAGAATATCCAATATGGCGTGACGAATGACATTCGCCTGGTTTCCGTGCGAATGTGTCGAGGGCGGCGGCGCTGTCGTTTGGTAACTAATGACAGCTGTTTTGGGCATTTGAAATTGAATGATTTTTTTTTAGGTATTTTAATCGCTAGATCGAGTGAAAAAAAATTTTATTGCATGATTTTAAGAAATTCAACGAATAAAAATATAAAACTTGGAGAAAAAAATTGAAATTTCCATGAATTCGAATTTAATTTTGATATAATAATTTACAATTCATACAGTGCTACCATCGTCACACATTGCATTTGACAGTCAGAGTCATTGGACGTACTCATTCATATATGAAACAAAAAAAAACCTCTTTTCTTCAAGTCTCATGACATTTCCATTAAGCCATTAATCAAATAGAAACCATTCTGACTGAAATCATATCATTCAGCTTTGGTTCTTGTGTCCAAAGTAACTTTTTTATTTAACTTATTTAAATAAACATAGAACCCAATTTGATGTAATTTTGCATCAAATTTCATTCGTTTTTATTGTAGCATGGTGAAATTGTATTTCACCGAGTGATTAAATACCAGTTTCAAGATAAAATCCATACAAATTTAGCATTTTATTTTGCGCGGTGTGCCGAAAAGGAAAAAAAACTCATCATCATGTCGAATGATGTGGCCGAATCGAATGCGGTTGTACGGAGCGATAATGACACAGAAAATACACAAGTACGTTTTAATTGGTTTTTCCGTGCTTTTGGCGCCATTTGTTTTTAATTGATAGAAAAAATGTGAAGCAATTGAATCGTTGCATTTTTTCCTAAATTTAATGTGATTTTTTAACGGCATGAAAAAAGGGTCAGAGCATGAAATGAGTAAAAGTCCATGAAATGAATCTAGATGGATAGATGTTGACAGAAAATGCCATTAGTAGTAATGGTTTGTGATTTTGAATGGCACCAAACGCTCGGTTTTCGATGAACAATGAGAGATTTATGTCATTATGTGGCTTTGAATCGGTTGCAATTAGCGTTCTTAGACCTAAAACACAATAGACATGCAATGCCATTCTTCGCGGTTTCAATGCCGAACTAAATTTTAATCATTTTTATTTCCATTACATTCAAGACACGTGTAATTGAAAATTTCAAATTGAATAGATAAGATATTGAGCAGGCAACCTATATCCATCAAGCTATTACACATTAATTCAGAGCGTGTTCTTATGTGCGGTGATTTGATTTTTTATGATCATCATAAAACTACAGAGACAACCAACTCTCACACATTACGATACGAATGATACGGACAAAAAGTGCATAGATGTGAAATTGCCATACGCAAACGCACAACCAAGTACCTGAATCTAAATTTAGTTGCTTCCTTTTGAAAAACATTCGGCTAATTTCACATGGGTACACACTACTGCGTACGAGCCCACCATAACGCTCATTAACTAGATACAACTATTCAGTGCGACATTGACACTCATTCGGTGACTATCATCTGTTTTCATGCAATGTTCATCAACTGAGAACGCAAATACCCCATCGGAGTGTGTTATTTCATTTGGAGCAACGATTTTGCGTGTCGTAAATTACATTTGATGAGTGAAAAGGTTGAATCAAAATAACGAAGAGAAAAATACAAACAACAACGGTTGAAATCAAATTAAATGTTAATGAATTGCATTAAAAATGCTGAGAAATCGTCGGTCATTTGTGAATAAGCACCAGCCAACTGTGTACCCACTCCCAATCGATCCGAGACAAAGACTTCGTTTTGTAAAGAATTTTTTCTGTCGGAATAACCACATTTTATTCAAAATTGTTTTATTTTTCATTATTTGATCGTTCTATTTGCTTGAAAAAACGTTTGGTGGAAGGAACATCATTTTGTTCTGTAATATTTTCATTTCCGAATCTAAAATTTTTAGCTGAAAAAAATTTCATTTTCATAAAAATATTTAGAATATAAAAATGGTGATTTTCATCAATGAAATCTTGGTGCCGTGAAAGAATTTAAATAACAATTCATCTATTTTGTTTCTATCTCACAGGCTGTTTCACAAGATGAAGCACCACCACAACAGCAGCCGACCAAATTAGAGTCATTTTTTGCAATCACCAAATCATTAATCATCAGAGCACTCATCATCTACTTTGTTTCATCGTTTTTGCGTAAGCCAGCATCAACACCCACAGAAGTAAATCCAACTGCACCGGGCGGTGCAGCACCTCCTGCACGATTACCAGCCTCGAATTTCTTCCAAAATGGCACTCTGTTCGATTTTCATGTCTACATATCGGAGGATCAGTTCACTGTGAATTTTAGCGATACGAACAGTTTGATTTGGTATCAAGAGGGTCTCACGTATGGCGATTGGTATGGCGGTAAAAATGGTGACGGAACCATCACTCATCACACACAAATTCGAGCCTCTGAACAACTTCAGGTGAAGATTGAACCAAAAATAAACTATTTTTCAGCTATTAGTTTGGATAAGCTGGCCAACTCTTAGCCCTTTTTCAGTTGAAGAAGCAAATTTTGATCAAAATTCGAAACTCTTCTAGAATAAATTCTAACACATTCGCAATTCTTCCTTTTCAATAGAACAATGGATCAATTTTCATCCATGTATATGTTACCAGGTATGGTATGAGTCCGAACCCGGCCGATCTTGAATCGTTTGCCAAGCAAGAGATGAGCCATTCCAGTCGATTGTTGAATAAGTTTAAGAAGATTCGTTACCAAAAAACGCATAATTTATTGACCGGTCAAACGGAGAAGAGTGAAGAGGAGCAACGCAAATCGAAGATAATGAGCGCTGAAATAATGTCACATTGGCATCCAAATCTGACCATCAACTTAGTAACCGATCAAACAAACTGGGTGAAAGGTGCGGTGCCACAACCGCTCGACGAATACATTCAATTCAGTGAAGATGATCTAACTTATTACCCAATTATATTCTTCAATGATTATTGGAACATGTTACGAGACTATCAGCCAATCAATTCGACGACTAAAATATTGGATTTATCTCTTACCTATCAGCCACTCTCACTTTTCAAATGGCAATTGTATGCGGCACAAGCAGCCAAGAACAAATGGACTTCAAGTATTTTCGGAGAGAGTTTGGCCGGTGCCACCGAAGACAATGACGAAGAACAAGATTCACTCAAAGAGACATTATTGGATACAAATCCATATTTGCTTGGCATGACAATTGCCATCTCAATTTTGCACAGTATTTTCGAATTGTTGGCATTTAAAAATGATATCCAATTCTGGAACAATCGTAAATCACTCGAAGGATTATCCGTTCGATCAGTATTCTTTGGTGTATTCCAATCACTCATCGTATTACTCTATGTACTTGACAATGAAACGAATTTCATGATTCGAATCAGTTGCTTCATTGGTCTCGGTATTGAAATATGGAAAATTCAGAAAGTTGTCGACTTCAAGTTCAACAAGGAAGATCGCATTTTCGGTATCATACCAAAACTAACATTCACCGACAAAGGTTCTTATGTGGATTCAAGCACAAAACAATACGATAATTTGGCATTCAAGTACTTGGGCTGGTTGTGCTTCCCGTTGCTCATCGGATTCGGTGTTTACTCAATCATCTATAATGAACACAAAGGATGGTATTCATTCGTATTGAATATGCTGTACGGTTTCTTGTTGACATTCGGTTTCATCATGATGACACCACAACTATTTATCAACTACAAATTGAAGTCGGTGGCACATTTGCCATGGCGCATGATGACCTACAAATTTTTGAACACATTCATCGATGACATCTTTGCATTCGTAAGACTATGTTTTTTCTTGATTTTTTTCTCTAATTTTTAACTCTTCCGATTCAATGGATTGATTTTTCTCATCACATCGACAATTTTCAAATTTTATCTTTCAAAATGATTGAATCAATTTTCATTTTTCAATCGTTGCAGGTGATCAAAATGCCGACCATGTACCGATTGGGTTGCTTCAGAGATGGTAAGAAATCATGTCAAACGATGTGAACATCGTCTCATTGTTTTTCTTCAATTTTTGTTGAATGAAAGTTCCAAATAATCTTCAATCTCGAAATTTTAACCAATTCCACCCCAATTTCTCTGTTACAGACATTGTTTTCTTCATTTTCTTGTACCAGCGATGGATCTATAAGGTGGACAAGAGTCGTGTGAATGAATTTGGTTTCTCGGGTGAAATGGAGGAGGACACAAAGAAGGGCATTGCCAACGGTGATGCAACCGAACCGGTCGTGGCCGCAATTGAAGCCAAACCATCGTCACCAGCTTCAACCAAATCGAAATCAAAGAAAGACAAAAAACGAGATTAATCTCTTCCCAAATTCTCATTTTTAAACACAATTTTTGAAATAAGCCGCATGCCGTGTATCACATACGTCTAAACGATGAACATAACCATATTTTATGTTGTTGTAAAAATACTAACTAGTTAATTGCGTTTGCAGCGTGTAGCCAATTGTTCACCAGTGAAGTGCGAGAGAGAAAAAAAGCGAGCAAGCAGTGTGTAAACAGGACTGTATTTTAGCGTTAGTTATTATATATTTGAATGTTGGTCGAATTGTGTTAGTTTAACGTAAGAATACCAGAATAAAAATAGAAATTACAGTAAATGTAAAACAGAAAGAATAAACCGAAAATTATGCCGAATTCATTGAGTGAACGAACAAACGGGTACAAAAATGCAGAACAAACAACAAATATCAATTTTACCGTGAAATAAAAAGTTGCGAATGATTTGAGTTTTATTTGTTTTGATTTCCCCTTAAAAATGAGTCGCAAAACGTCATTCCGCCGTGTGCTCACCTGTTGAACAAACTCACGCGGCCGCATTTACTCACACGCATACACATACGACTCCAATACATGGATGGAGCGTCCAATACACATTTGAAGAAAGTGACGAAAGGTAAATGGCTGCTGTGAACTGTCAAAACTAAAAGAAAAAACGCAACAACAGAGAAACAATGTCAGTCAACTAAGCTGTGTGACACGTAACAACCAAATGAATTTTGTTTATTTTTCTGCTACGAATCAAAAGGATTGCCAATTTTTTAGGGCATTTTTACATTTTTTATATTCTGTTATTGTGATTGCATGTTAAATTGTGGGTTGTAAACAATTAATTTGTATGAAAATGACACGGAGAATGTTGTGAAAAAAACAAGCTGACTATGGCCTAAAAATTGAGAAATAGTGCATAAATTTAATTCAATTGATTGGAAAATGTATTCGGAATGGGCATCGTTGTCACCAGTTATCGCTGGAAATAGCAACAATTCAGCGAATACAGTACTAAACAAGTTCTCAGCGATCGCTGGCAAAGAAGTTTCACAAGCGGTGGTAAAGCAATTGGCAGCCAACTTGGGCATCACACAATCACCTGAACCCAGTATTTTAGTCACAGATGAAGAAGTGAGTCGACGTCGATCAATGAGTCATTGAACAATAATGTTGTTCATCTTCTTTTTTTTTTTAATTGGATTCGACCATCTGTTTATTCAGTTCACACAATGAACTTCACAGAAAATTTCCATAGGTTCTAATGAAATGACGTTTTATTTCAATATTTTTAGGTGAACTGGTGCATGAGTGTCATTTGTCATGGTTTGTATTTTTTTTAACAATGATCAACAAATTCATAATCAGTCATTTAAATGCTCTTTTAATCTACTTATCCTGATTTTAAATCATTTGTTCGATGCCATCCAAAATGTATCTAATCGATGTGTCATTTCAGGTTTGTCACTGCCACTCACCGAACACGAAACAATTAAGGACTGTGTGAATGTCTATTGTGAATGGTTAACAGCGTTGTATCAAGTGCCGCGAATCAGTGTACCCACACCAATATGTGAAGATCCAAATTTGTATGCGCGTAAAATCATAAATCATTTTCACAAACTGTTTGTACCGCGTCAAGGCGAAGGTGAGCTAAAATGAAAGCAAATAACTTTACGCTAAAACAGAGAAGCAATATGCTTTCAATTTCAGTCTATTTTGCCTGTTAATTTCAACTGATTGAATGAAACAAAAACACTGCTTTTACTACAACGCGCTGCTGCGAAATCTATCTTAAACCTAAACAGAAACTTCGTTTTTTCAATAATTAAAAAAATAATTGAGTCTCGCTATTTGTTAGGCTTGCTTCAGGCGTCGTAATATGCATCGTACAATGGCCAAATCGCATCGATTAAATTTCTTATCAAAATTCTTGACACTTAAATTTAACGTGTATTTTCTTCTTCTAAAAACAATCGAAAGAAAAATAACTATTTTTCGATTATAATCGACTAAATTTTTTTAAAGCTCTTTTTTGAGAATGATTTTTTTTTTAATTTCTCTCAACTAAACATCACTGACAAACCAACAAAATCTAACGAATTCAATCTGTTTTTTTTTTTTCGTTTTCGTTTTGCATTATTGTGTTCGAAATGTTTTGTATAAAAAAAAAAGTTTGGCCATTTTTGTACCAGGATAATTTGGGTAAGAATTATATGAATTTTGAACCACAGTTTTCTCTGAATGGCTTGTGTTTTTTTTTAGCTTTTATGCTCATTGGAATGCTGCATCCTATTATTAGACTTCTTTAGATTGGTTTTTGTGTGTTAATTCGTGTTTTTTTTTAAATAAATATTATTCTTCAATATTTTTCATTAGAATTTTTTTTTTATAGAGATTTTGTTCTTATCTGGTTGGTTATGTGATTTCATTTATTTTCCGTTAATTTTTTGTTTGTCTTTGGCGATGTGTTTCATTCACTAAACAAAAACCATTTAACTGAAGTTATACATGGAATGACAACCAAGTTGAAAACATATATTGGTTCTTATTGACTACCATTTTGTTTATTTTTATTCATCTGATTTGGCAATTTATATATGCTTCGCATGGGTTTAATTTCATATTCGTTTGCTGATAGATTTGGACTTTGTTTTTATTGAATTTGTTTATTATTATCGTGAATTCATTAACGGTTTTTTTTTCTATTCGTAGTCTTAACATTAATTTATTTGTCATTTATAAATACGTCATTTTGATTAGTTTTGATTCTTGATTGTCTTGATATGGTCATTTACATTTTTCTAATGGAGATTCGGTTTGATTCAGGTGCTGATTTGATAAATCGACAAGCGGTTCTGTGTCATCGTGTGCTTCGCACTTTGCAACAAGTGGCTCAGTCATCACAGAAACTTACACCTGAAACATGGGAATCGTTGCTGCTGTTTTTGCTGGCGATAAATGAGGTCCTTCTGGCGCCTCCAGGTGCAAAAGATGATGTCAGCGATCAACTCTGCGAACGAGTGTTGAGCGTTTTGTTCGAGGTATGGCTGATTGCATGTGTTCGCAACTTTCCATCACCATCGCTTTGGAAAACACTGCAAGAGTCGTGTTTGCTGTTGAGACATCGTATCGCCTTGATCGAACAATGGAATCGCGTGAATCTCGCTCTGACGGCGCGTTTACTTGAGTTTTTGTACGGGCCATCATTTCCAGAGCTAAAAATATGTAAGAATTTTCTTTTGGAAATGTAAAGAATTGAAAAAATGAAAAGAAATTGAATTAAAATTGTGAACAAATGAATAATTTATTTCCATGTGAAATTTCAGTGGAAGAAGACGCCCAATTGATTCCATCCGGCATGACAAATGATTGCATTGCCCAAACTTGGTACCGATTTCTGCGCACAATTGGATCACCGATTGCATTGTGTTCGCCGCAGGTGATCAGCAAAACGCCCCAATTCATGCAATGGGTTATGTCCCGTGCCGATGGCGTTGAAGCATTCCATCATCCATGTCTTTTGCAGTTGCCGCACATTTTTCTCAAAGCAATCAAGGGCGTTTCCAGTCAAGTTGATGCTTTTCTAGGTATGAATTATGGGTACCATTGCACAATCACGCACCTTATTCATTTCAAATTGAAAAACAATTTGTAAAAATAACTCTTTTTCTTGTTTTTCCTAATTATATACACGCACACACACACACCAAATGGCACATACACAAAACACATACATGCACATCAATGGTTATCAATCAATATGGGTTACAGGCATATACCAAGCACATGAACCGATTGAGGTGTCAGCTGACACAACAACGAGCTCGGCCACATCGGCACAACAGCAAAAACTCGAAGAATCGTCACGTTTGTCGGGTAGTGAAATTAAAAGTAGTGGATTTATAAGTAGCAGTAGCTTAGCGATTGCTTCAATTGGTGGTGGTGGTGGTTCACAATCGGTAACGCCAAGCGTTGCCACCAATTCAAATGCTGGTAGCGGTGATTCGCCAACACCAACGCAACATCGTCGACTCGCAAAGAGTTTCTCAGTTGCACCATCTCTATCACAAACATCAAAGGGTTGGTAACATATTTTCTCAATGAACAATCACACCAGTTTACATACATCCTGCACTTGTCTCCTCTTCATCATTTCTCATTCCTTTCTGGATGGTTGGCACTTTTTGATATTACTCACATAGCAGAACCGATTTGAAAATTTCTAAACCAAATGAGTGTTTCATTTATTCGTGAAACAGTCGAAAATTAAGCGCTAAATTCACAATTTTTTTTTTAATGATCGCATATTTGTTCCGTTTTAAATGCAATTCAAATGAAGAAAAAAATGTCAAGTTCAAGTGCTCACCAGCCGTTTATGCTTTACTTACAGATGAGCGGACTATCTGATTAAGATTAATTAATCTTAATCAAACACCTAAAATTCGCGATGATTAATACGACCACTTAATCACTTAATCATGATTAATAGCGATTAAGTGATTAAGTGCCGTCTTAATCATCCGAAAAATGATTGTGCAAGTGATTAAGTAATCGCAAAACGCCCACCTGTAGCTTTACTTGCACAAAATAACCACTCTATTCAAAAGACGAGTCTTCAGTTTAACATCTCAATTCAATTCACACAATCAGAAGCAATTTTAGTTTTTTCAATGCACTGTTTTTACAAGCACCATTTAGATGTCTATTGGAGCACTTACACGTAGTTTTTGTTTTGTTCATTTTACTGTTTCATTTTTTTTCTCTACTGAACTTGAGTTTAACCGTAGTTAGATGAATGGATTTTTTTAACTCGAATATTTTCGAGTTAACAAAAATGTATTCTCATGACAATATACATTTTTGTAACGAAAACAATTCCAAATTAACCACTTTGTGTTGAATTATAAACGAAAATTACTGAAATTGATTGTAAAATCTAAATTTGTGGCGTTATTTCCATGCAATTCACTGAAAAAAGGACTCAGTAAGGGATCGCTTATCGGATTAACAAGCAGTCGATCTTCGGTGCATCCTCCATTAACACCAACATCCGGGCCTCCATCTTCATCCAGTTTATTATGTTGGTTGAACAAAGCGAATTTAAATAATTTTACATTTTTCGAAAACAGATTGATTTTCAATTCCCCTTTTTATTGCTTTGATTTTTTTTGCATTTATTTGCTGATTTTATGCCAATTCAAATTGCAACCAAATTTTTCAACACATTTCCGGTTAAATTTCAAACAGCTCTCCCATCATTGGGATTCATCGAATCACGTCCACCTTTGGCAGCGGCAAGACCAAAATGCAATAGTATTTTGCATTTGTTTGGCGAATGGCTTTTTGAAGCAGCTCACATCGGTGGTGATGCTTGGTTGCAGAACACGAAAAGTAAGTCAATTGAAAAGGAAAAATCTGTTTTTAATCTTTTACATCTCCGAATAGTTCAAAACCTATTCATCTTTTTTGAACTCTTTTTGATCAAGTTTTAATTTTTCTTCTTAAAAAAATTCCAAAAATTCTTCTTTCATTTTATTTTTATTCAGAATTAGCAACCGAGGCAAGTCGCCGACCATCGTCAATGATACTAGACAGTCGAAAGGGGAGTTTATCGTTGTCACAACCGTCGTCATTGTCTGAATCAGCCGATTTACCACCCAGCTTGAAAATCGATAAATATGAATCTGGAAAGGCTGAAGCGATTGGTGCCTTGTGTCGAATTTTCTGCGCAAAAAAAACGGGCGAAGAAATTTTGCCCGTGTATTTGGCACGATTTTATGTGGCAATTCAACAGGGATTGAGAATTCCGGAGAGTCGTGAATGTGAAGAAACATTGGCTAGTATTTTGTACAATTCATCCGATCTATTCCGTTTGGATTTGGATGGCATTCAAGTGTTACTGCCGTCATTCATATCCGCTTTGGAACTGGTTTTGCCGGAGAAAGAGCTTAAATTGAAAACAAATATTGTCATCAATAAAACCGAATTGCGACGTGCATCCATTCAAATTCTACTGACGATACTTGCGCTACCGCTACATTTCCAAACACTTCCAATTCGTGATCTATCCAATTCACCGGACAAGTGAGTCTGTTTGAATGAAACTTCATTCATTCAGTTTGGAAAAACGATTGAACGGAATAGTGAATAATGTATGACTTTGCTTTTCAGGGTAATCACTTTCATTCAGCTGAAACCGCGGCTCATCAACATTCTGATGAATGCAATTCAAGTGGAGACCGATCCACAGAACACACACATGCTGCTCGGTGGATTGATGCTATGTGTTCAAGACTCAGCATTATTTGAAGAATGCGCAGAAATTACTGTGGACGGAAGGCAAACATCACCAGCACCCAGCGATACAAATCTACTCAGTTCGGGTATGCAAACGACATAAATTTTTATTCAATCGGCAATCGTTTTATGCATAGTCTCCTCATTTTTTGTTTGTATGTGTGGCACAATCGGCACCGTACCGTGACTCAAATCCTCGAAGTGATTAAATTATTTGAAGTGGTTTTGTTGAAACTGGCCAAAATTTCCATGAACACCTTTTTACGGTATATTCTTCGAAAAAAACACACATTTGATACGAGCAAGGAGAAGTAATTTCTTTTTATTTTTCTTGAATTACTACATATTCCCTATGGATTTTACATAGTACCGAACCAAAACCATAGTCAATATGGTTTTGGTTATTTTCCTGAAGAAAAATCATTCGACTCCTTTGTTTGATTTTTCAACAAGTTTTGTTGGCTTCACATCTGCATTCGTATTTTGATTCATGTCCAAAAGACCCACTGGCAATGTGGTGTCTTCTTCAAATGATCCAGTACCTTCGACGAATTCTTCATATGTAGACTTCTCTTTGAATGGACGTGGTCCGAGTAATTCAATCAGATCATCACGTTTTAGCACTTCATTTTCGAGCAAACTTTCGGCTACTTTTTCTAAATCGGTTTTATGTTTGACGATTAAATCTTTCGTTCGTTTGTATGCTGAATCGATGAGTTTTCGAACCTCTTCATCGATTAATTGGGCTGTTTGTTCGGAATATGGTTTGACCGAACGTTTTTTCATATCGAAACTAACATTGCCCACTTTTTCATTCATACCATAAATGACAATTTGAGCATAGGCACTTTGTGTGACCTTTTCTAAATCATCTTGTGCACCGGTTGTGATTCGGCCGAAGAAAATCTCCTCGGCAGTTCGCCCACCCAGTAGCATACACATTTGATCAAATAATTGCTCTTTTGACAACAGATACGGATCCTTTGGCAAGTATTGTGCATAGCCAAGACCCTTACCACGTGGAACAATCGACACTTTGAGCAATGGATTGGCAAATTCCAAAAACCAACCGGCAACTGTATGTCTAGCTTCATGATAGGCAACCGTTCGCTTTTCATCCAGCGTCAACACATTTGTTTTCTTCTCCATACCGCCGATGCAACGTTCGATTGCTTGCTCGAAATGCTTCATCTCAATTGATTCGCTTGCATTACGGGCCGCAATCAATGCGGCTTCATTACAAACATTCGCTATGTCTGCACCGGTAAAACCTGGCGTAAGCGCTGCCATCTTTCTAGATAACACCTGCTTGTCTAGCGTTGTTTTCGATGGGTTCAAATGCACTTTGAATATACTTGCACGTCCTTTAATATCGGGAGCTGACACATCGATTTGCCGATCGAAACGACCTTTGCGTAACAAAGCCTCGTCCAAAATATCTATTCGATTCGTAGCAGCAAATACAATCACATTTTCTGTTGTGTTGAAACCATCCATTTCGACCAAGAGCTTTGAGAAGAAACATTTGAAATGTAGTGAATTGTTGATTTTCGTTGAAAGAAAAACGAAGAAAAAAAAATACCTGATTTAACGTTCTCTCGTCTTCCGAGTCCGAGTTACCGTAATACTCCGATTCACGTACTCGACCTAAAGCATCAATTTCATCAATGAACAAAATGCATGGTGAATTCTCTCGTGCCATTTTGAACATGTCACGAATACGCGATGGACCCACACCGACAAACATTTCCGTGAATTCCGAGCCAGACACTGAAATGAACGACGCATCGGCCTCTCCAGCGGTTGCTTTAGCTAATAATGTTTTACCGGTACCTGAAGAATATGTGTAGGGAATTTTGTGTTTTCAATTGCGAAAAACAGACCACAATTTTGATTTAAAAAAAAATAAACGATCCAAACATACGAACGAACAAGTGTCCATAGGTGTTCAGCGGTTAACACGGTCAAAATGCAATAAACGAATTTTTGGACACTCACCTGGTGGGCCAGTCAATATGGCTCCTTTTGGAGTTTTAGCTCCTAATTCGATGTATTTCTTTGGATTTTTTAAAAAATTGACAAACTCCATAATTTCGATTTTGGCTTCCTCACACCCACCGACATCTCTGCAATTTTTACAAAGAGAAAAAAGGGAACATTTTAAAATCAGAAAAGACTTATATTATCGCGTTTATATTTTTTTGATAATTGAATTTTAAAAGAAAAAATGACCTCCGAATGTGAGTGAAAATAAACTCAGAATATAATGAAAGTTGTTGGGGTTTAAACCCATTCAATTCCAATTTTTATATCTTTTTCTTTTTTTTCGGTTTTATCAAGAGAAAGTGACTGTACTTACTTGAAACGAGCTGTAATTTCGTTTGAATCAATAAGTTTAGCGATTGATTTCCTATATTTGTCATATTTGTCATATTCGCAGTGTTTTTCTTTCATATCAACGATAAACGTCACGATTAACATAAAAAATAGCATACATATTGGTAAAACCAATAGGACAAAAACATCCTCTTTTTCTTCTTTATAAATGATATCGACATAATTTTTTCGATCAATGTTATAGTCATGTTGTATGTTCTCGAGAGTTCTCTCTAGCGAATCCACGCTACCGATTTTGAAGCGCACGGTTTTCTGGGAGTAAAAAAAGGAAAGTGATCAGATTTTCTTTGTTAAAATGGTTCCACTGCCGCAGCGCTGTTAGAAATCATCAACAAAGAATTCCTTACGTTTGTTGTGTTTTTTTCAGGTAACATCACAACACGAATCCAATTGCGGTCAATAACTTCCAAACATGAAATATTCCCTTCGACCGTCAAACTGATAGAAAGAAGCAAATAACAAATATATATATATTTGGATGACGGAGCGGATTATTGCAAAATGAAATTTCTCCCGAATTTTTTTTTCAGTAAAAGCAAGTGGCTGCTTTTGCACATCAAGAAAGAGATGGTGAATACACGTTGTATACATCCATCTCTCTTCCTCGTCAAAAACCTTATAACGTGCGTCTTATTAACTCCCTATGGCATAATTAATCGAATGACACAATGAGATTGTTATAAACGTACTTCGTTAATTCATTCCAGCTAATGTCTTGGTATTCCTCTTGCGGACCGTATGTAAAGTATGTAATGGCTGCAATTCCAAGCAAAAACACCAAAACTATCAAACCCAAGCCAAACCATTTTTGTCGTTGCGGGTCCTTCCAACATTGTTTTTTCGGTTTGGTTCCCTTATTGTCCCGTTTGCCAGATACCATTTTAAGTCTGCAAATATTCTTAATATTCGTAAAATTAAATTTGTGGTACAACTGAAATGACATGTATAAATCTTATGCATAAGTTTGCACAATGTTGGAATACAACGATAGAGTTTCGCAAAAATCGTTGCAGATTTATTCGGAACGATCAATTAGATTTATGAAGATGGTTAGCAAACATTCAAATTTCTCTCTAACTACGAAATGTTCTGTTTTGAACGCTTGTTAACCACCTAAGTCCAATTATTCCTTTGGAATAATTCCAAACAAATTTCTTGCGGAATGTCGCAGTAAACTACCAAAAAAATATTTTTCTAGTAAATCAAACTTTTCACTTAAAGCAGACTGAAAGAAGAAAAACCCACCAAAAAATTTTCAATGTTTTTCGTTGCAAAAATCTACTTGTTTTTTAACGTTTTCGGACCGAAATGTTTGAGAGAAGTTTACTGACTGTGTATATGTTGTTGACTGCTAATATCATTTCAGATCATGCATGTAACTTCGCCGAAAACACCCGAAACGAAAGACCTATTGAAAAAAAAATTAAAACACCGGACAAAGGTCACATTTGTACCATGCGTTTGGCACAAATCACACATGTTTGTGTAAACGATTCTGTTTGCAGCACATCCTTACCAATACCTGCAAGAACATCAGTCATATGCACAAGCATTGTTTTTTATTACTTTGTTTTCAGTTTCTTGTGTTTCTCAGTGTCTTTAGTCTTTTCCGGCTAGATACCAATGAAAAAAAATACTGAAAGAAAATAAAAACCAGAACAAAATCCAAGATTAAAAAGAAAAAAAAAACACTCAATCCTAGCAGGTATGCATACCGATGTGTGTATGTGTGTTTGGTCTCTCTACGCGTATATGCATTGTTCTCATTATACGCATTACAATGTGTGTTGGAGTCTCTGCAAAGCCATTCTCTATACAGCAGGTATATGGACGTTTTTGAGTTTTTTTCTTTCAAACGATTGTAGCGAAGCTACGAGCTAAAACCACATTGAAAATTTATTTGGAAAGCTCGTTTTGATAGACAAAAATTAAACGACTAACACTATAATGAGTTATGAATCGAATCGAAATTCTCCAACGGAAATTGGGAAGAGTCCATGGTACGGGTCGTATGGTGCATTCAATATTTCGTTTAACTCATGAAATTTACTGTAGCAACCATGAATGTATGCAAAACAATATGTGTATCACAAACGATGCCGATTTTTAGCGAACAAATATTTTTATGCAAACAACAACTTTTCTATACATTTATTTGTTCTTTGTGTAAATCATTTTTCACTTAATGTTTTTTTTATTTGTGTCACTTTTTTATGTTTTATCATTTCACACATTTCTTTTCTCTTTTGACAAATTTTATTTGAATAAAATGAAAAACAAAAACAATGAACAGCGTATTCCGATAAAAGTGCATGTTCAATAGCCAGCGGTGGTTCAAGTTCGATTGGTGGCAATAGTACGGCGACGCTGGGCAACGATTATCCCAGTTTGACTGCATCCGACGATTTTCCAGATGATATTGAATTTTCGACGAACTACGGTAAAAATGCACAATTTATCCTAGAATTTTAACCACTAATTACAACTCGCTACGTAAATGGATGGGAATCGCGACTAAAAAAACAATAACAACCTTGGAAAGCCTGCGTTTTCATTAATTTATTTTATTCATTTTCATTTTTGATCATTCGTAATTAATTTTCAAAATTTTCATTCTTTGATTTTTGTCTTCACAGTGTTGAATTCATTTGTTGTTCGTGTTTTATTGATAATTTTCAATTTTATTCAAAATTCTTTTTAAAAAAATGATTTTTTCAACAATTGTACTTGCTAGAAATTAATTCCAATTCTAATTAAAACTGTTCTGTGTTCGTACAGATAACGCACATGCACTTTTTGTTCGTGCCACTTATTTGGTGTGTCACCGTTTGATTTCATCGTGGAAGACCGATTTGAATGTTTCACTTGCAGCACTGGAGTTGCTATCTGGATTGGCAAGGATGACTATTAAAGATTCTGGTAAGAGAAGAAATTCACTATTTGTATGAAATAGATCCGTCAACTACGGGGTACTGTCTGAGTTTTAATATGGTAAATTGTTCTTTTCTTCAAAATTTCTAGATCCTCTTGAGTGCAAACGAGCTGTAAAATGGATTTGTGACTACATTTGTTATCAGTGTTCAAGACCGCCACCAGCTCATAGCAAAGATCTACACAGTACTATTGTCTCTGCATTTCAATGCACATCTGCATGGTTGATCCAGCATCCTTATTTGCTACAAGATAAAGAATGTTTGACAACTGTATTGGAAGTGATTGAGTTGGGTATATCTGGTACGAAAAGCGTCGGAAAACCCGGTGAACCAATCAAACTAAAGGAAGACAAGGAATTGAAACCAGTTTCAATGAGAGTGCGTGAAGCAGCTGAGACAATGTTAACCCTTGTACTTGAGCAAGTTGGTTTCTTCCCAAATGAGTGTGGTCCACAGTCAGTATCATCTCTGCTCGACGAAATCACACTGTACAAACATTGTGTTTCGCATCCGAATGAGAAGAATGAGGCATCAATATCGGCTGAGCAAGCAGTACAGAAGTTTCGATATTTTGTCGCCGAGAATTCGACCATTTTGGCATTGCTGGAAGAGCCGTTGGGCAATGATCAAGATCCACAACCGACGATCACATGTAATTCATTCCTTTCTTACACTTGGTTGCACAAGATTTGAACATTTTTTGTCTTGTTTTGATTTTTTCCCATTTTTGGCTGCTTCTTACGTTGTTGTTTGAATTTTCGAATACTTTTAACCTTCCATTTCTCCACTTTGCAGTGCTTCTCCGCAGTTCATTCGGAAGAAATGCTTGGACCATGCAATTGAGACATTTGCCGCGAAGCAAATCCGGCACAAAATATCACGCACCAAACCCAGGACGCCCGGTTCCGATGAATGATATGCCAATGCGCCAGGAGGTGGAACAAAAATTCTACCCGGACGGTGTTGAACGCATTCAATCGTGTGTTGCTGACAATTCAATTCCAACGATAGATTCGGTTGTACAAAAAATCGGCAGCAAGACGAGCCCACAGCTTGTTCAACTGTTGGAAAATCAAACAGTCGCTGAGAAAATGGCATGGGCAGAAACTGATAATTCGGACGATGGTCTCGGCAGAGAGTCAGAAACTGAAGCACCTCCAGTGGTGAATGAATTCCAAGCGGCGCGATTGTTCTTATCACATTTTGGCTTTTTGTCGATTGATGAAGATAAATCAACGGAAGAAAATGATTCAATGGTGAATTTCCCCGTTTTAACTGCGCTCGATGCAAAGCAGCCAGGCTTTTTATCCGATTTACAAGCATTGGATAGACTCAGTCCACGTACAAATGACACGCTTCACATTTTCTATGTAAAAGTTGGACAAACATCGGCTGCCGAAATTATTGAAAACGTTTCAGACGCAAATGTTGCGTCACTTGACAAACACTTTTGGAATGTTTTACTGAATCTGGGTTGGCCAGTTGAAATCGAAGAGCATGCCGGATGGACTGGTTCCGTAAATACGAGTTGGAAAATCCAAACCAGTACGGTGGTCACATCGAAAAAAGATTTCAACGTTAACACGCCCGAAAACATGAAGTTTAACGGTGAAAAGCGCATTTTGTATTGGGCCGATGTGAGCGGTGAAATAGCATTTGTGTTGCCTACAAAATGGAATAAGGCTGATGATACAGCTGATGGCAGTTGTTTGTCGATAGCGTCATCATCATCAAATGAGAGTGAAAAAGTACATCCAAATTTAAATGATCGAAGCTTAAGTGTGCAACAAGGGAACACAGCAAAAGTTTCGATTGGTCAAAAGCCAAAAACACTTTCATTGGATTTGGATAAACCAAAAACACAAGGCAGTCCAGGCAGCAGTAATGATCCGGTAGCACCGACTCGACGGAGAACATGCGCAATTAAACCGGCCTTGTCAAGTCAGAGTAGTGTCAAAATTTTCATGGTTTGGCTTGAAAGTTTTGAGGACTACTTAAATTTCCCAACCGATGAACTGCTGACGTATGCCAGAACTGGCGAAGAATATCAATCTGGACAAATTCCACGGGCAAGCGATTGTCACATCATTTTCTTGCAATCTCTAAATTCTGGGTTGCTTCGAGTGAAATTGCATGGGCCTAGCGGTCGAATGAACTTTGCATCACCATTGGTCGATGGAATGGTTGTGAACAAACGCACCGTCGGCATACTCATTCGACAAACCGTTTACAATATGGCCAAGCGGAGACGCTTGGATAACGACTTATATCAACCGCCACACGTACGACGACGTTTAAAGGCGTTGGATATTGTGCACAAATACAAATTAGATATGTCCGAACCCGAACTATTGGCACATCTCTTCAAGAGCTCATCGAACACTTGAAACGATTATAAATAAGTTTACTGTGCAATTAGTGCATGAGAATATTGAATGCGCACTGTCACAAAATGCAGGACAATTATATCAATTTACTTTCGAAAAGTATTAATCAATTTATCTGTAATTCAATTTCTCACTAATTTTACAAAGAGAATTATTTAGATTAACATGAATCAATAGCTAATTTATTTATCCAAATAAAGAAATATTTACGACAGAGCAGAAACGAGCTTTTTTGGTGCATTTCTATTTTATGGGGTAGTATCTAGTACAATTAGGCTAAACCATATTCGATTTTCCTTCGTGTATTCAAAAATGTGATAACAATGAATTGAAACGGTATTGATTTTTAAAACACACTTTATCCATCACTAAGTCAAATATGTGACAACTAACACTGTCATCACTTCATTTGAGCCACAGTGAGTGGTTGTATCAAAAACTGATGTTGGGGAGGTATAGCTAATTTTCGACGAGGAATCCAAAAATGTAATTGATTTGGGATTGAGGAGTGACAGTGACCCAAATTACATTACAAACATCAAATTTTTCGCATGAACGAAGGTTTTTAGCATAAAAATTCATTTCAATGCCATAAAACCATACAGCAAACATATGACAAAATAAAATTGAAGTTAACCTCCTAACACGTGGAACCTGCAACACATGAATGGTCTTATTTGACCCAAATTAAAAATTGCGAGTCTTGTTTAATTGTCCAGTTCCTATCCGACAATCGAGGTAAATCGATAGGATCCAATAAGAATATCAGTAATTCTCTTCCATATTACTAGTCAAATGATTCGAATGAATTTTAAATCAATTGACAAATAAAACGTATCAATCGTGTTGATATGAAATGGGGACCATTACCTATATGTGTTCGAATGCAGGAGAACTTTTTATCGACATCAATGGTTTCTCTTGTGTGATATGTGGGGATGTCCGTCTATATGCCTGGACCCGTTTCGAATATTCAATAAATAATTGAATAGTAAACAACTACTTTATTCGAATCGGAAGCATCGATGTACCTTCATCTTGTTTGCATTGTTAGATGGCTACTCAATTTACATTTGATTTGGAAATCATTTGTGGATACTGTTCAGCATTGAAATGAATTTTGCTTGTTCCTTACTATTCGTTTCAATTCTATCCTTTTTGGTTTCCGCTCACTTTTATCGTCTATCTTTCAAAAAATCAATAGAGCCAGTTGTTTCGAAGACTTTTTACCCAAAATGTCCTCTAAAAATTCGTTTCTGATTGGTTTGCTGCATTTTCAGTTAAATATAACAATCCAAATCAACATATTAAATATGTTCGAGAAAGTACAAGTCGAGTGGTACCATTGCTTATGATGTGTGCCACTAATATATTCTGAACGACAACCGCAAATCGATAACGCTAATGATTCTCTTTATGCCAAATATTTTACTTCAATTGAACAACGAAGGTATCTTTTCTCATCGTTTTTATATGATAAATACCGAAAGAATTCAAATTGAATACACTTTCCGCTTGAAACTCGATTTCATCCGTTTTATCGCTTGTTTATATTATTGCGAGACAGAAAATATATTTTCTCGATTTCTATTACACATTACTTGAAAACCGCATTTTCACCTGGGCATTTTCACAATCCTAGCCTGAATTTTTGATGATGTTTGTTTCGTTTGACGTCATTAACTCATTTGCGTCCTAACGTTGCATTCACAAAATATGGCTAAAAAGTGATTTTGTTCATTTATTTTCATATATATAAGCTGATGTTAGACATATTTTAAGGTCAACTATCAATTTTACACTACTATTGGTCAACTATTAATTTTTGGATTATGGAAACATTTTTTTCATCTTCAGGTTTTAGTATTGCAATCATTCAAAGTTGAAAGGAAACTTTTTTCTAAGAATCACCCATTACTAATGGGTTAATATGACGAAAAATATGTCCTTACTTGCAATCGAATTCTTACTGAATAATTGAAATGAAAAAGTGGTATAAAAGGCCGGTAAGCAAGGTTTGAAGACTACACTAGACTTCAATACGATCAACCGAAAGCTGCTATAATCTTAATTCTCCATATATTGAAGATTGTAAATCCCAAAAAAAAAGAAATCAAAAAACTAACTTGCTAAAACTAAAACAAACAAAATTTAAGCAAGTAATTTGTCACATTTCATTTTAATAGTTCAGTTTTGCTTTGAAATTGAAAATGATAACGCGTTATAATTTTGAATAAACATTTCCCCCTTTATAAAAATAAATTTGTGTCGTTATCGATCACATTTTCACGCAAACAAACTCAACTAAGTTTTTTCGGGCAATTTTTTTAAAAGAAATTCTATTTCAATACGTATATACATAGAAATCTAACTCGAAAGTTAATAAGATTTGCTGTGAAAATGACAAAATTCAAAGTTCTAAGATCCAATCGAAAGTACATGACCTATTTGGGCATTTATTCAAATCGTTTAACCGAGCCGACCAATGAATTTTTCAAGTCCTTTTTTACCTACTATTTGTTTGTCGTAATGGCAATTGCTTTGGCGGCAAGCGGTGCATTTGTTCTGAAATACCCGTCCGAAGTCAAGCCCGCTTTGGGTGCGTTTAAAATATGTTTTTCTGCGATTCAGTGTTTAGGCATGTTCCTTGGTATCGGAATCGAAATGATCAAAGTGAAGAATTTACATCTTGAACTACAGCGCATCGTTGATGAAGGTATTTCATTCATTTTATTTCATTTTTTTTCGTTACATGAAACGTACATATTGTACAATGTACATTAAATGTAAATTTCGTTTTTTTTTCTTCCTCGGGTTTCAAAACTTTGGATTTTTTAATCCCAAAACAGATTCTGTGTTTATGTTTAATTATAATCTGTGACTAACTACAAATTTAGATTAAAACGTTATTACCAATACGATAATTGAAAATGTTCAGTTCCATACATTATGATGTACGATGTAGAGTATTGGTTATTGTGGTAGCATTGAATTTAATACAGAAGTTTAGCTGATTTTTTTGATTTTTGGTGACCTAAACTTCATTGTACTGTGTATGGTAAAAAATAAAATGAGTCTGTTTTGTAGGTTCTAACATTTTTCAGAAAAATTCTTCAGGCGTTTTTCAAATGAGCCCCTTGAATTTCCACTTTAAGAATTCAGTTTATCAATATAATGTCATTATTTTATTAACCTTATATGTATCTTAAATAAGATGAAGACAACAGTGAGGTGAACAACATTTACTGGGAATGTGAACAAAAATGTCGAAAACGCACTCAACGATTTACCTATTTTGTGGTTTTCCACACATCCTCATTCACAATTGTTCTGGTGTACGCGCTAATCTGCATCGCTTTTGGGAACTACGACACTTCATCTTGGCACCTATCGTTTTTCATAGTTGTTCCTTTTGACCGAACAAAGGTTTTGGGATGGTTAATGACGTGGATCATTCAGTTTAGTATGGCATTATGTTACGCATTATGCATGACTTCGGTTACGTCATACTTTGTGAGCTGCTGCCACTACATCAATGCCATGGTCGACCATATCAATTTGTTGATCAATTCGGTCGAAACGGACGTCGAACATATGCAAACGGAAAAAATACCACAAAAAGTCGAGAAACTTCGTCAAAAAATCATCGCTCAGCTATGCAATATAATTAAATTTCATAGCATCATCTATGAGTAAGTAATTTTTGGATAAATTGAATTGATGTCGTATCTTTAAACAGAGAAACGTACGACAAGAAATTGGAAAATGTACGAAAAAAGGATAAAATGTATGACAATGAGAGAAAAATAATTTTTTCAACAAGAAAATCCACCTTTTCAACTGTTTTGTCGTGTTTTTTTAGTTTTGGAGTTCATATTTTGTTTTATGCTCTCTTGCGCCCTCCGATCCCGCAGCTTGGTATATTCTGTCATATGCGTTCCCACTTTTAGACATCTCGTTTCCCCCATTCTCCACAAACATTTTCCAAGTTTTTGTTCTGTACTCAGCGATGCACGTCACCAGTTAATCGGCTGGTATACAGTACATTTGACCAGTTGCGACTTCGGTCAAACTTCTGTTGTTGCGAATATGCATCAAAGCATGCTGTGACTCGTGTATATGGTTCACCAGTTACACCGTGTGTGCATGACGTGCGACTTCTCACGAAGTGGTGCTTCGTCTCAGTTCGCGCTGTGCACACACGTTGTAACTCGTAAACCATATACACAAGTCACAGTATGCTTTGATGCATATTCGCAACAACGGAAGTTTGACCGAAGTCGCAACTGGTCAAATGTACTGTGTACCAGCCGATTAACTGGTGACGTGCATCGCTGAGTAGCAAGCTACAAACAGTGTACTGATTTGATTGAATTATTTGACAGGATTTCCAATATGCTGGTAGCCATTAGCAGCGGATCAATATTTGCTCTGCTTCCATCGAATGCCATCTTTCTGTCGATCTCAATGTATGATATCGAAGTGGTACGTACATCGTATAAATATTTTTAATTCCCTTATAATTTTCCACCCAATAACCGATTTCTTTTTCTCAGTCTGTTACAAATTTCGATTCATCAGCTCTATTGTGGGACGTATCTTGTATTCTTTGCGCTTTGTTCTGGCCGGCTTTTATCTCATACTACGCCACTCATACAACCGATCGAGTCTCATCAATTGAAGATATGGTTTACAACTCGAATTGGCGTGATTATCCTCCGGAGCTGCGGAAATACATCATTTTAATCATCGCTCGCTCTCAACGACCGGTCTATTTCAATGGCTTGGGCGTAGTTGGCTGCACTTTGCAGGCGTTTGGAGATGTAAGAATTTCATTGAATTATTTGGATTTTTGAGCTTTAGCTCAAATTTTGTTTTTTTTAATCCTTTTCATAGATCTGCCGAGCATCCTCTTCTTATTACATAACGTTTCGAGCAATTGATCGACGCTAAATTGAATTTATTGAAATACTAAATCGAATGAATTTATAAATTCCTCTATTTTGAAGACTAAATTTATATTGCACCTTTTTGACACAAAGTTTTGGAATATTTGACAGCCAGTTCATAGTTGATTTTTTAAATTAAACTCAAGAGTAGTAGTCTCTCTTTAGTATGTTAATCATTCGACGTAATTCACTCAAGAGTGCTTTGGGTCATGCTTTCGGTAAATACCAACACCGTGATGCGCAATGGTAATATATTCAGCAAATCCAAAACCGTTCAGAGTTCAGTTTGAATTGCTTTTATCCCTATCGGAAGTTCACTGACTTGAACCATAAATAACGTTCAAAATGTCATTTCTAACAAATGCCATTTCCAATATTTGGGTAAACCTTATGATGAAAGCATTTACTTATACTTCCATGTAATCCGTATAGATGCCTTTAGAGCATTCATTGCTGAATATTTTCCATTTACAGCGCACTTTGTTGGTAAATACCGATTTAGCCCAAGTACAGATTAAAGAGTATATTTTTGTCAATTCACGGATGGAAAATGAATGACTGTAACTAAAATCTACAAATTAGCGACTGAAGATAAGAAGTTCTGTTTGAAAAAATTGGAAAAATTGTAAAGTACGATGAGATTTTAGCCAGACAATTTAAATTGGGACATTTTCGACTGTGGTTGCTGTTAAATATGATCATTCTTTTTGTACCAGATATTCGCTTTTAGCCAGTCAAAAATTGGAAAATATTGGGACTGGCTGCTTAGATGTCGGAATATTTGCACCCGTGATAACAAGTTGAGAACTTAGATTCCATACTTGAATAGTGCACAAACAATTTAATTTAATATATAAATTTATTCAATAGAATCTGTATAAGATGCTGTTTGCACATTTAGAATTGCACTTTGTTGTTTCAATGATTGAAACTATGGCAAATTTTATGATTTTATAAAGAAATACTAATTCAAACACATCAATTTCAACAAATCTAAAGTTTTAAAACTGTAATCGAAAGATGATCACATTACGAAAATAAAACGCCACAAATGAGGCAATTTTCATGGGGCGTAGAGTGGTAATGTGTCGAGGAGTAAGAATGACTTTGGCAGTATGACACACAAGCAAATGCTCTTAGATTCACACTCCGATGGGATAGAAAAGAGTTTTATACCTGCTATAGCAAAGAATCGTGCTTTTTGACAGATGTACTAAATTGAATGTTTTCTATGTCGCCCTCTGATTGGTGAAACTAATATCTTCTTGCACGGTTCTGATGAAGATTTTATTTATTGTTTATCCAATTTTATACAAAATCACTTTTCCATTCATAAACCCAATTTAGAAAAGAAAATCACAGTTTTTTCGACTTTTTGCATCAAAATGCCCAAAAAAGAAGAGTGAAAAAAATTGTCATCATCAAGTTTAAAACACGGCACGACCAATTTCATGTCTTGCAACCCAAAATAGTGAATAATGCACAAAAAACGTGCATGGGTAAGATTTAACGTGAGATTTTGTTTAAAAAAAAAGCCCTATATTATCTGACAAAAAAACACTATTACAAAATAATAAATGGCAAATCATTCTTTTGTCTCTTTATAGACATTATATCCCACATTTTCAATTGAAAGTGAATTTTTTTCCATACAACTCATAATGATTGTAATACACAATTACGTGTTTAGTACATTTCATTAAACAATACCGACACTGAACTCACCCTTTTAACGTTGGCAATGGTATCTGTCAAACCAAGGTCGCTTTCTTCGTATACAAATACATGGGTAAGATTTGACGTGAGACGCCAAGACGCCTCTACTAATTTCATTACTGAGGTACAAAGTTGAAACAGAGTCAAATTTAAGCAAGACAGCTTAAATCAAGCTCAATAAATATCAATTAATCAAACACAATGCAAATCAAAATGCACTACATTTTCTTCATACTCAATCACTGCTAATACATTGTATTTTAAAGATTATGCCAAAATCGTATTTATTTTAAGAGTGGAAAAAATTAGTTTTATTTTTCTTTCATATTCTCACAAATGGAGAAGCTGAACAGCATTCAAAAGCTTGGTATTTACGCCTTCTGTTCCGTTTTCCATAAAGATGCCATGACGTCCTCTTGAATAAATTGTAATTCCTGTTGAGAAGTTGTGTTTTGTTATGCAATAAATCGGATATAAGAGCAACAATTTCAAGTTGAAAATTCAGCGTACACCTCTCGACAAAATATAAATTTTCAGCGGAAACTGAGTGTGTTTAAGGATCTGGCCCACCATAGAAGATATTGTGTGATGGCGGTGGTGGTGGTGGCAGAGAGAATGAATGCATTGTCAACAAATAAACGTACAAATTGATATACATGTGTGCTTATTGCACCTTAACGCGGCGTCGAAGGATTTGTGAAAATGAAAAATGTACATTCACTACATCTTGCATAACTCTCCGTTACATTGAAACATGTATCAAAACTCATTTTAATTCAAGTCGACATTTTCCATACATCATAAAACAATGCAATACTATATTTTTACTACCTATATTTTGAAAATAAATTAATTCAATCCAAAAAATGTAAATGTTCAAGCTTCACTGTCGTCGTTGATGTAAACGAAATCGCCAATTGAAATCGTTCCTGGTACACGTATTGCCAAATTTTGGCCCATATAAGGCATGCCATCTAGTGAAGGACGTGTCTTTTTTAATGTTCTTAATGGTTCAAGTTGTGGATTGCGCTCGGCTGTCTCCGGATTTACAGTTGTAAATATGCACCTATAAAAAAGGGAGAAAAATAAGTAAGTTTTGTGCAAAAAGGTGCAATTTTTCAAATTTCACATTCTATCTCACCGTGGACAACGTTTTAATCCACGAAATATAACATTTTCACCAATTCGAATCCATTTCCAATTGTCTTCTTCGTAAGCTGTCGATCCTTGCACAACTAAATTCGGTCGAAATTGTAACGGTACGACCACATGATCGAAGTTAGTGTTTAATTCATCGATCGATGCTTGGTTTATAAGTAAGTAGCTGGTTTCTTCCTGATAGCTGCCAGTGTCTGAATCTTTGTACGCCTTGTATTTGTTTGCTATTTTTGGTTTGACTTTCGCTGCATACGAATGTGGATAGTAAATCAAGCGAACGCTTCCCAGCTTTTCATCAATAAAATTCGATAGCCAATCAGCTGCTTCTTGACCAGCATCAACGCCGCCAACTTCACAATACCACAGCTCTATTTCATTATTAATTGGCAAGTCTTTCAATGTGTCTAAATTTATGACCAAATCACTTTGGTTTGGTGCTGATAAAATGAGTTGATTGCCTTCAACTCTCGGTTGAATAAGCCACATTTTCGGATAAGTTCGACCCGAAATCTGTTTATTGTTAAGTGAAACAGCAAAACAGCGGTCAAACAGATTTTCACATCGCAGTCCAAGCACATGACAATCGAATGAGTCGCGCTTTATTGCACCGCATGATTTCACAGGGTAACAATATAATTCACTGAGTTGACCGACCTTTTTCCATCTGGAATGATTATGTGAAGGTTATCGTAATACTCATTGCAGTCTATTTTTGTCAACTCACTTTGTCGGAATCGACTCGGGGGCATTTCTTTGATACAAATATGCAGCAACTCCAACCGCTGTTGTTGTTAACGCTATGGCTGTTCCAACAATTATCTTTGTTTGATTATCTTCAAAAAAATAAAAACATTCTTTCAGTGACTCAACTTATAATTTTTAATGTAAATTTTTTTTTCCACACCGCGTATTCAATTTACAATTAACAATTTGATTTCTTACCAGCCATTTCGTCTCAAACGCAAGCTCCTCACCGTTTAAGCAGTCAAAACATTCTGAATTGAACTAAATTGAAACATTCAACTCTAAAAATTATGGTCCATTGAAGATGAATGCAATAATCGAGTCACTTTTTCATGCGATAAGATTATCTCTCTAGCGATAATAATTAGCGATTGTGCCGGAAACAACAGCAAAACTGTGTGGTACAGCTGACAAAAACAAACATGAATTGATAACAAACAAACGATTTTCAGTATAAAGTATCAGCATTCACAGTATGTTTATCATTAAATTCTATTATTTAAGCCAAATTAAGTGAAAGTATTGGCTATGCTGAGTTTGAACATCAAATTATTATCGTAAGCACTACATGGAATGTAGTTTTAATCGTAGTATACTTTGTTTTATGCAAGTCATTTTAATATTGTCAAAAATCTATCTATATATATATATAAAACTGAATGTTCGTCTCTCTCTGTGTGTGTGTGTGTGTAGCCAGTTATCTCTCCTTTTTTTAATTCATGGTTTTATTGATATGCTTTCCGTTTGATTTCGCGCGGCCTCAAGAAAGATCTTATAAATGCAGTTTTGATTTTCGAATTGAATTTTCAAAAGTTTGAAGAAAAAAATTTAAATTGTTTTTCGATACAACGTATGTACATTAATTTGGATTGATGGCAATGAAATATTATATGTGTACCATATTATACCACACTTATTGTCGCTAATACATTCACACACAATCAGTGTGTGCATAACTACAGCATAACGACCGTTTTCAGCGTGTATTTGTATTTGAGCCGCTGTATCTATTTATCTGCAATCATAAAAAATACGTTAAATAAAACATTGAATTTTATTGTGCATTTTGAACTGTTTTTTTTATTAATTTATTTTTCTTTAAAATTTCGGGTAGTTTTACATCTAAAATTTACAAAATTTTAAATTAAAAGAAACGCACTCCAACCAATATGTCTCACATAACATTTGAATGTTTTGGAATTTATTTGCAGTTAAATTTCAAAATTGATTGACAGTGAGAAACTAACTGACTTTTAAGCTAGTTTGAACTATCTATATTTAAAAAAACGATATCCTTGCACTAATGAGTTTTATTTACATTGGGTAAAAATACAGTCTTCATTAATAGTCAAGAATGCTAAGAATTAATGTCATGTTTTGTTTTGTTTTGTTTTGACCTACGTAAAATTAGTGGTTGAAATTATTTCTGGGACAGAAACACTCGTTTCCGTCAATTTTTTGTTGTCCTATGCTTAAAACGTATAAAACCATATGGCAAGACGCTTTACATCGATCAATTCTCTTCTTATGTTTTTCTTTCATCACCTTTATCTCATTTTAATTCTATGTAAATAAATGTTAGCGGCTAATTTCGTTTAGGGCTATTATTAACATTCGGCAACATAATTAGGATTTTTCTTTTGATCGAAAATATAGCACAATTTTTAATTATTATCGACACAATTTATTGTTTGTTCGTTTCGTAAGACAATTTTGAATTTTTTTTTTTTGTTTATACTACGAAATAGTTTCGTCAAATTCGTTGATTATTTTCTTTCATTCTTAATCAAACGAAGCTAACAACAGCTTGATACAAGGTGTCGCTTCATCTCCAATAATTTCGATTCAAAAATCGTATATTTGCAAGTGTTTATATATTGAAATTCATTCCATTTTTTTTTACAAATCTCCTTCATCTACTCCTACATTTTTATACATATTCCTCTGGTGGATTTTGTACGTTGTTTGGCATATGCCGTATTGGTGGCAATACATTTCCATTTACTGAATCAGGTAATTCGGCAATGTCATTGAAAACGCCCATTAATTTCTCGAAATTCAAACCCCAATTCAGCAGATAGTCCCATCCGAGTGTTGAAGGTGATGCGGCATTCTGTGGCCGGTACATATTGCTAATGTGATTTGAGAGTTCGTCATCCGAAGCGACCAAAGTGCTGAGCGATCCACGAAATGATGAGTCAAAGCCGTCATACGATGGAGGTGGCAATGGTGGTGGTTTATTTGCCATATCAGCTCGTTCATTCTCTCGATCCGAATCGATGATTTGTCGATCTGAATCTAGGATTTCTCGATTCGGATCGATCATGTGTCTGTTTAGATCATCGTATTCAATTTCGGAGCAAGTAAAACTGTCATTGGCATCACTCTCATCAGTCGATGTTGAGCTTTGTGCATCAACATTTGAGTGCAAATGACTTAAATGATGTGAACCACCCGCTCGTGGTACTTCACTGCTCAACGTTGACACTAGGCTTGAAGTTCGTGGTCGAACATTTAACCGTTGAATTTCCTCAGCTGTCAGTCCCATTGGCGGGCTAATGGCTTTCATCTTTGGTTGCGGTGGTACCGGTTTTGTTCGGCTCGCACTTGAACTTTGACCGGATAACTGTGACATCACCGGGCTATTTAAACTACGTTCGCTGTTACTGTGCAACGCATCTTTGCCAACACCGCCCGAACTCGAGGTCGTTGCGAGCAATGCACTCTGGAGCGGTTTGCCGGATATATCGTGCAGTGTAAGAATGCGCGGTCGTTGTGAACTGAGCTCAGAGCTGGGCGATAGACGAGCTAACGGTGTGCTTTGATGCTGGCGAATGCCATTTGTTGATTGTGTCTGACTAGTTTGTGGTGGAATGCGAGGAAATGGGCTCGCATGATGTGGCGAATGCCGATGCTGTTGCTGTGGTGCGCTTGGAGTGTGTTTGTGATGGGTGTACGATGAAACTGGCGGTGGTGTTGCTTTGTATTTTCGTACACCGCCCGCTTCGCGATAGCCTTTGTAATGGTAAACAACGTCAATGTCGGATGGTGCAATCGAACTGGCATTTTCCAAATCGTAATGCTCTGGGAAGCCACTTTCACTCAAATCAACACCTCCAGGATGGTCGTGAGCATGATGTTGATTGGGCATTGGAATCGAGTGTTCATCTCGTAACGGTGGACTTTTGCTAACCACCTCTCGTTCGATTATATCTGGTCGCTGGGGTCGTTGATGTTCATTCGTGATATCGCGTTCTTTATACTTTTTCGATATCAACTCTGGGCCGACAATATGGTGCGGTCGAATGATGTCGGCATTTTCTCCGTGAAAACCAACAGACGCATCGGGTGAATGCAATCCACGACTGATGACACAATCATTTGTCGATGATCCCATACCACTGCCAGCCAACAGCGTCGATCCAGCTGAATGTTTGTTCTGAATTGAACCAGGGCCACCCGATTTCTCTTTGTATTGCTTCCGCCACCGAAATACGACGAACGACGCGAAAATAGCGACAAGCAGAATTACGAAGAAAATGATCACCAGTGTAATTCCAATGCTCAATGGATCGGTTGTTTGAGCGGCTCCAATTCCAGCGATACTATGACAACCTTGATAAACTCGGCCGTGTGAAAGGATCTCCTTGAAAATACTGCCCGATCCGTTGAACGGTTGAATTTCATTGTTGATGGTGAAATTGGCAAAACATCCTTCGAAACCTGGTGGCATATTGTCTTTGCCAAACAATTCACGTCTTGCACTACCGATTGAAAGTGTTGTCAAATATGGATCAAGGAAATCGTGTACATTTGGTGCATCCAATTCATCGCCGACTCGTTTGCCATCCACATAAATGGCCAACGCTCGATTGTATGAATACAATGTAACATTGTGCCATTTGCCATCGGACAAACTTTCCAAGCCGTTTATCGTCATATTCACCGCATACGATTGATTTGATTGGTACACAATTTTACCGTTTCTCAGTTCAAGCGAGGTGTAATGTTTGTTAGTTGCCGTATAGAAAATCAAGCCATTGGGTCGAAGTGTTCGGAACCGCATACTCATCGATTTTGGCACATCAAATCCATCGGATGTGGCAAATGTGGCGTTGTTTGAAATTTGTGATCGTTTATTGCGTTTTCCAAAGTTTGTTGACCATGCATTCATTCCGAAGTAGAAATTCTCCAGCAATTGCATACGACGATGCTTTTCGGATATTAGGAATTCGACGAAACCACCATCACCAAGCGAAATTGCGTCAAGTGAATTGTAACAGTCGGGCGACAATAGATTGCCACCACATCGACACATTGAGTAATGGAAACGATCGGAACAGTCAGAGAATGAACCACATCGTGTTAACGTTGGATTTTGTGGCAAAGTTTGTGTACATGAGCCGGATTTTCGGTTGCAAGTTGGTAGAATTCCTTTCGATTTGATTGGACTGCTTAGGTTCAGTGCACGGCCATTGATCGAAACGCTGTGCATACAACCGACAAAGTCATCGGAATGGATTTGGCCAGGTCGTTCCAGTACTGGATCAGCTGACGATAAGCCGCCAATATAGAGTGGGTGCTTGTTGAAGTTTAGCGTTCTGAAATGGGACGGAAAGTATTTGTTTTAGATTGAATTCATGAAGAAAATCAGATTTTTTTTTTAAAACGAAAACTCTTTCTGAAATTAAAAAATGAAATGATTTATGTTTTAAAAAAAGATTCGATATCTTACCCAGTCAAACCGATATCATCGGAGTAGCATGACGCATCACCCGGGCGGCATTCATCACAGGAATCGCCATAATCGGTGCACTTCGCCACACTCAATGACATAACACGTCCATTTCTCGTTGCTGTAACTTTGTGCCATTGGCCGTTTGCAATATTTCCTTCTACGTTGCTCGTCACCACTGACGTAATAGCCGTTAGCGATCCACCAAATGAAAATATGGCCTTTCCTTGCACCAATTCCATTGCAATGAAATCAGATCGTCCTCCGCTTTGCACGCCATAATTGTACATGAGCAATGCGTTTGGTTTTGTCGTCGCGAAAATGATTGAAATATCATTCGTTGCCGCATCCAGTGATGGGAATGACATGTACGACAATTCTTGGAATCCAAATGTGGCACGTTCACAGTGTCGTCCGTAACGGCCATCGGGACAACTGCATTTGTACCCAGGTTTCAAACTGATACACTGACCACCATACAAGCATGGGTTTGGTCGGCACGAATCGGATACGGTTTCGCATTGATTTCCACGATATCCGGGTCGACACAAGCAGAAGAATGACGATCCATCAGGGCTTTCGCGACATGAACCACCGTTTTTACATGGACTGTTACTGCACACATCACCCTTATCCAAATGGCATCGTTTGCCTTCACGGTGTAGCGGGCAAATGCACTGGAAGTCATAGCCTTGTCGTCTGCAATGGGCACCCAATTCGCATGGATTTGGTGAGCATGGATCTTGACGCTTATCACACTTTTGACCGGTGTAACTGTCGGAGCATTTGCACGTAAAGTCATGATTGACCAAAGGCGATGTGAATATCAAATTTTGACTATCAACCGTTTCGATTTCTTTGTAAACTTGGATTTGTTCGCTGCAAATGCCTCCGTTATCACAAGCATGATCGTTGCACGGCGAGAAACCAATCACAATATTCTGAACTTGAAGCAATTGTTTCAAAGCATCATATTTTTTAATCAATTTCTCCGTGATGTAAGTTGGCACTTGGTATCCGGTTGCCACATTCTTAACAGCCATCGTCAAGTCTAAGCTCTCATTTCGATTGCGCAAACTGTACAAAATGACATCGTCTCCTGAATCAAGCGATGATTTCACAAGGTCCAAAAAGTTTTGATAGAACGAATACAGGAAAGTCTCAGCGCTCATATTCTTCACGTGGATTGTGATGGAATTTTCCACCGTTTGGTTATCGAAGAAAGCAAATTCGACGTCGAAAGATGAAATCACATCAGTATGAGTGCCATCATTGCCGGATATTGAATATGAATAGCTACGAATCGATGTGGTCGTTGTTGTGTGCAATTCACATTCGCTTGGTATACTCAATCCATTTGGATTGTTACGTTCTTTCAGTATTTTACAGTTGTAGTCACCGGTTGTATCCAAGTCATTGGGTTTTACATCGGCAACTTTACCAATTGGAATTTGATGATTGAACGCGTAGACAAGGATTCGTGCATTGCGTGACGTTGATGGCATATCATTTTGATCAATGATATTTACGGTGATTTGATGTTGTGAACGCATTTTCGGTCTTCCACTGTCTTCAACCTCAACGGTGACATCGAGTTGTGGCGTTGATTCACGATCGATAATACGAGTCGTTCGCATCACTCCGGTAGATTTATCGATAGACACAAACGATTTATGACGACCGCCAACGAGATAGTACGAGAATGGCGCTCCATTTGGTGGTAAATCCGGATCCTTTGCCGAGAGAGTCATGACAGTTGAACCGATTGGCTCATTTTCGGAAATATAACCAATTTTATCTTCAGCATCAAAGATTGGGCCATTGTCGTTAACATCTGAATTGGGAATGAAAAGGGAATTTTTGAGTGAAATGGTTCAATTGTCTTTTTGAAATGCTCAAATTGGAAAAATAATCAAATTTTTTATCCCAATTCAATGTGAGAATGTCAAACTTACCTAAAACTGAAATCAAAACGGTGGCCGTTCCAGTTTGTGGTGGCAGCCCAGTATCAATAGCTCCAATTAAAACACTGTACTCGGAAATTGTCTCTCGATCCAATATTCGGGCCGTTTCAATGAATCCAGTTTGTGGATCCACCTTAAACGATTGATTTGTATTTCCACCAATAATGGAGTAGCTAAATTGGTTATTCTGTGCGCGTACATCCTTATCAACAGCTTTAACAGCAATGATTTTGGTGCCCAACGAAGCGTCTTCCTGCACACTAGCTTCGTATTTGTGTTGTAAGAATTCCGGTGGATCATTTCCATCTTGAATCGAAATGATAACTTGAGCTTCATCGGTGTCATTTCCATGAATGCCTCCGAAGTTCTTGGCCATAACCGTTAAAACTACACGGCTTTGTGTCTCACGATCCAAATTCCGTGCAACGCGAATAACGCCCGTATCACAGTGAATGCTAAATCCTTTGTCGTTGCTCGAACCAACCAGCAAATAGTACACTTTTCCGTCATCGCCGGCATCCTTGTCGGTGGCTTGAATGATGCCAACATTCGTTCCAATCTCGGCCGATTCGGAAACATCGAAGTGGAACACGGGTTGCAAGAATGTCGGATAAAATTCATTGACACCAGTTATGTGAACAATGACAATAGCTGTGCTTGACATCGGCGAATCTGGATTGGTGGCCTTGATGGTGAGTTGAAATTCATTTTCTTCTTCAAAATCGAAGCTGACGCGTGACGTAATTTCACCAGTCGTTGGTGAAATGTTGAACAATTGCGAATTCATGCCGTTAATGATTGAATAACGAATGATGGCATTTCGCGGTGAATCCTTATCGGTGGCCGTAGCTTTGAAGATCAAACTGTTGATTGGGGAATTTTCCGCCAGATAAGCATGATATTCACTTTGATTGAAAACTGGTGGATGATCATTGATATCGGTTAGCGTTACCGTCAACATTGCAACAGCTTCTTTCGGTTTGAAACCCAAATCCTGAGCCGTAATATTCAAATGATACTCTTGAATCACATCGTAGTCCAATGATTCTCTAATTGTAATTGTACCAGTGATGGAATCCACGGCGAATTCTTTGCGTTCATTTCCACCGGAAATGCTGTAACGAACCATTCCATTTGGACCTTCATCATTATCTGTTGCATTTATGGTTAATATGGCCGATCCAATTGGTTCATTTTCCGGAACAATCACTTGATAGCTTAATGTTGTGAAGACGGGACTGTAACGATTCTCTCCGGTGATAACGATTGTAACTTCAGTTTCATCCTGTTGTGCCGGTACGCCACGGTCAACAGCACGAACAATCAATTTGTATTTCTTTCCTGGTTCATTAGCTAAACGTCCTGCAACTGAAATCCATCCGTTGGTCTTGTCAATCGTAAAGTTACCAGCTCCATTTCCACTAACAATGATATAATCAATTTCCGCATTGATTCCAAAGTCAAACTCATCTTTTGCAATAACTTGCACGACCTTCTGTCCAATTTCAGCGTCACTTGGTGCTGGTGATAGGTATTTGTTCTGCTCGAATTTCGGTGCGTTATTATTTGAATCGACAACATTGATGTTAACCAAACATTCGGAGTACATTGGTGGTTTTCCATTGTCGATGGCAAGAACAGTCAGCGAATACATATTTTCCGGTGACAAAACCATATGCGAATGACGATAGTGAAGAGTTCGTTTGCTATAGAGTTCACCAGAAGCCGGATCAATGCTGAATATATCCGATGGCTGTTGGAATGAGTAGGATATAATCGAATTTGGTCCTTGCTTATCGGGATCCGTTGCAATCACTTGACCAACAAGCCGACCACTTGGCTGTAATTCAAGGAAGTTGAAACTGTACGAACTGTGCTCAAACTCTGGAGCATTGTCGTTTTGATCTTGAATTGTGATGGTCAGTGCGGTTTCAGCTCGCCAAGCACCATCAAAAGCGGCCACTTTCAGTACATATTCGTCTTGTTGCTCACGATCGAGGTGTTCGGTGACAGTAACATTACCCGAAATTGGATCAATCGAGAATTTATTGCCCGGATTCTCGGTGAAACTATAAGTTGCGTTTGCATTTTCACCACTATCCAAATCCGACGATGTAACTTTGATGACAAATGTGCCAATTTCAGCATTTTCCGTAACATTCACGCTGAATAAACGCGAAAAACGTGGTGGATTATCATTTTTATCCAAAACGGACACCAAAACAGTGGCCGTTCCGCTTCGTTGTGGCACACCTTGATCGATGGCTTGAACGAGAATCTCGTAGTTTGCAATGTTTTCACGATCCAATTTCATTGTTGTGAAAATTTCGCCGGAATCTGAATCAATTTCGAAGGAACCGTCAAAGTCGGTCAAAAGTCGATATGTGATGACACCATTCTCTCCTGAATCCGCGTCATTCGCCAATACTTTGCACACTAGAACTGGTGGACTTTCCTCTTCCAGCACTTCGTCATGATAAATCAATTGATCCATAACCGGTGAGTTGTCGTTTGTGTCGGTAACGTTCAAAACTAATTTCACAACGCTTCGAAGACTTGGTCGATCGTTGTCAGCTGCTTCGATCCAAACTTCGTAAATTTGTGATTTTTCATAGTCCAATCCGGCTTTATCAATTGCAACTTCACCGGAATTTGCATCAATTTTCAGCGCATCGTACACATTACCGCCGGCGATAGCATATTTGATTGCTCCATTCGATCCTTTCTTTGGAGATGTTGCTTGGATTTTTGTGATAATTCTTCCTTCGGCAATGTCTTCGGGTAATGTGAACTGTGCTTGTGCCAAATACGAAAATGTCGGAAACAAATGTGCTGGTCGTAGAAGAATGGTTAATTCAGCACTCGTTGTTTTACTATTCTCGCCTTGATCACTGGCCCAAACGATTAAACTGTACACTTTATCGATACCATGTCCATCTGAGAGATCGTCAATCGTTCTGATTACACCGGTGTTATTGTCAACGGTAAATTTAGCCGCATCTTTTCCACTGATTGAATACAATATGCGACTATTCCTGCCTTCATCGATATCGATGGCATGCGCACCAAACACAAATTGGCCCGCTTCAATCAGATCGGGCACATTGACGTTGAATGAGCTTTGCTTAAATGTTGGACTATTATCATTTTCATCCGTAACAACGATGGTTAGATTTACAGCTGTTGCTTTTGGTTCGGTCGGTGAACTGTCTTGTGCCATCAATGTCATGTAATACACACTGACGGTTTCACGATCCAAAATTGAGGCGGTCGTTATTTCACCGGTGTCGGAATCAATACGAAAACTTCCAACATTCTCGCCCAACAAACTGAAACGGATTTTTGCATTCAAACCAGCATCTCTGTCAGTCGCTTGGGGCTGCAATACTTTTGTGCCAATTGATAGATTCTCTTTTATCGTTGCATGATAACTTTGACGAGTGAAAACAGGAGCCTGAAAATATTCGGACGGAATTGAATTAAAATGTGGTCGAAACTGAAGAGAGAAATGGAGACAAATAAATTGATTATTTTTACCTGATCATTCATGTCTTCAACGATTACTTTAACAGTTCCGGTGCCAGTCAATGGTGGCGAACCTAGAATTGTGAGAGGAAAAGAAATATTTTGAGTAAGCTCATCAAAAATGGATATGAAATATGGAGAATTTTGTTGTTGATCGATTTAAAAAAATCGATTTCATATTGCAAAACATTTTGAATGGGCAAATTTTGATTCATTCATTCCAAAAGAAAGAACCAAGACCATAGAATTCAATCGAAACAATGTTGAAATCATCAAGTGAAAATGAAATTGCATCGATGATTATGAATTAATTGCGTTATTTCAGTTGGATGCAATCAAAATAATTCCATCAATTTAAAATGAGGAACTATAGCGAAGATACATTTTGGTTCTGACGAAGAACTTGCGAAACAATCATCGCGTTTCTGTGCAATATTCGGATGGTTTATTTTCATGATAAATGAACATGATCATATAAAATCTGTCTGGGTTCAGTGCATGTTATGTAGTGTGTGTCTTTTTTTCTTTCTCGTCGATTTTCTGTTTTTTTTTTCTCTTTTAAACTTGTACATATTTCGCTGTAAACGATCACAAAGGAAGTGTGATTTATGAACACACACAATGCCCTCACGTTGTCATCATCATCGTCGTCGTTGTCGTCATTTGCTCTTGCAAGTGTACAAGCGCAAGAGTCCACGCGAGTGTTGCGACGATGCCTGAGAGAGAATTTCATTTGAAAAATGCACTGTGTGAGTCAGATGTTAGTTGTTTGTTTTTTCTGTTGATTTTTTGTTGTTGTATTATTTCCTTTGAAAATGGCAAAACCGCAACTCAGCAACACACATTGAGACGAGAGTGAGTGAGAGAGCACACGAGAAAATGAAAGGAAAACAAATATAACCGCTTAACAGTGCATTAAATATCAACTAAAAGTTAAGTAAATGAAACGAAACGAGTATCACACGTACTACACCGAAAAGAAGCTGAGCAATAACAACAACAACAATAAAAGCAACGAAAAAAAAGTGAAGCGAGTATATGGTTGCGGTGATGAAGTCGCAGACAATCAATGGACGAAACGACACACCGAATATACAACAACAACAACAACAACAACAACGACCGACGAGGGAAAAAAGGCGATCAATGCATACCTAGAACTTGGTAGTTGGGCTCTGTTGTTTTAACGATGGCAAATGGAAAACGATCGCAACGAAAAAACGAGAGAAACAAAGAGGCTTTTTATCAGAAATTAAGAGTCACGACATTTTGCCGGAAAGTTTTTCACATATCCGCAGAGCGGGCAAACGAGCAAGCAGGCTGAGCAGCGGAAAAGAGACGGAGTCAAACGGAGAGAGGGAGATAGAGTCAAAGCCATTAAGGACTTTGAGCACACAGTTGGTGTGTGAGATACTCTCTTTGCTTTGCTGTGCGACGGTTTTTAGACCAAAATTGAGTGCGCAAGCGGGCGTGCGCACACACAAAAGAGATTCACCTAGTCCATTTAAACATGTAGTACGGTAATTCTACATAATATTATTGTTATTTTTGAGTTTAATTCGTTGTTTGCCATTGATTTTATTTGCTTACATTGTGTGCTTTTATTTTTCGTTTCTTTTCATTCTTTGGCTGTTGCTCTCTCGTTGCTGTCGATTCATTTAATGTGAGTAATTTTCGTTTCGTTTGAGTTTTTTTTCCTTTGGTCTCTTTTGCTGTGTTACTTCGATTCATCGCTAGCCGCGATGGATTTTGTGTGTTTTTTTTTGTTGCTTCGTTCATATTGTCGCTGCAAACAAGACCATTTTTACTTAATGTGTGTTCGATGTACGTATTGTGGTCGTGTTTAGAGATTTTTGTCGCGAAAACGAAATATAATAAGTAATAATCATGCGAATGAAAGTTATTGTGTTTGGGAGATAAAGGGAGGGAGCAAGGTTAGAGCGAACAACAAAAAAAAACTTGACCGGTAATTGTTGTGTGTATTTGGTGGTTTTTAGCCAAGTCCATAAATCTGTTCGCTCACATGTGAGGCCACGTTGAAATGCAAGCACTCACGCATGCACTCCATCGGTTCGATTCTTGAACGAAGAGCAAAATATGTACGATCTTCGATTCGACGAGCTTAATTTTTGTGTGTGTAGCTGTTCAGCAGCGAGATGTTGTTGGTGGTTGTTTTATTTTTCTTTCGCAAATCAACCGCTTCCCACATTAAACAATCAAGAAACCCAGGTTCACCGAAAACGTTTTAGATCGATACTAGCATGAACCGTTTTATTGGCAACGAGAAATGCGAATTAGACATGAACAACGCGATTAAAGTTACATCGAAATGAGTATTGAATGAAGAAAAAAAGCACGCCGAGTCGTCGGCGGTGGTGTACTATGTTATTGTCATTGTTATGATTATGCGCGTGATGAATTTCCTAGATTGGAATTTGCGATAGAACGAGCCCAAATAACAAACTTTAAATGACAATAAACTAGGCATTGATCGTGCACAGCAATATCTCGTTCGTTCTATTGTCCTCCTCGCCACCCGCTCGTTCCGATCGAATAAATTACATTTTAAAAGATGTTTTCGCTTCAGCTCGCGACCACATGTTAAATTCTAATTAACAATCTTCTTCCGTGTTGTTTGTAACGAGAAGGGAAATCGTATGGTTTTTTTTTTCTCTTCAGATTTTTTGTGAAATTCGATGACTTTTTTTTGTCAAATTCGTTTAGATTTCCGTCCGAAAAAAATAAATTCCATCACTTGGTGGAACTGCAAATTCACCGTTTATGCATCAGCTGCTACCACAAATTCTGGCATTTTGCCCATTTGACTGTTTTTTTTTTTCTCGTATTTCTACTTATTATTTTCCCCCTTGTAAATGCCGCGTGTGCTTTTTCCTGCATTGCAAAATTCCCGAGAAATTATTAAGTGTTTTGTGATAGAGATAGAAAATTATGATTCTATCGGCAGTGCAGCAGCGGCAGCAACATCAGCAGGGCAAAGAAAGAATGGTGTACACAGCACAGCACAGCACAGCACAGCACAGCAAAGAGAAAAATAAAAGATCAAGTACACAAACAGAGACCAGTGGTAATAACATACATAAATTGCATAAATGAAACGGTGTAATGTGATGCAGAGAGTATAGAGAGGCGTGTCGACAGTCGCCGTAAACCAAGAGAGTCGGCGTGTGTATGGAAATGGCCATTGCATTGGATTGCGGTGATTTTGTGCATATTCGTGACGTCACGAAACCCTTAGGGGTTGCTTTATTTGCTGTGTATGCATGCGGATTCCTTGTGCAGCAAGAGAGTTGCAGCATTACAGCAGCAGCCGAAGCGCTGTACAGTGTAAGAATGGGAGAGAGAATGTGCATTGAAATTTACATTTCCGATCGACCGATCGACGCAGACACACAGCAAGTTGTTGAGCAACTTTATAACTTGTAATCATTGCAGGGAACAAAATCGACACAAAGAAGTGCATTATTTTAAGCGAATTTTTCATTGATTTGCTTAAAAACGACGAAAAAAAATGCAACAACAGCTACATCGAAAAAAAAAGTTGCAACGGCGAATTACGAAATCACCATCACACATTGATAAGTTGGCCATTTTGAAATTGAACGGCATCTGATTGGTTTTTATGATCGATTTAATTGTTTGGAATTGAATTTAAAGAAAAAAGAAAAAGAAAAAAAGAGTGTATACATGTTGCAACAGCGACGATGACGATCAATCGGTTCGCCTCGCCGAGGTGATGTTATATTGATGATAAAAAAATAATTGTCGTGATATTGACAGGTTTGGAAAATATGCGCGCACAGTCGGTTCGATGCGGTTAGAATGGCCGAAACGGAAGAATATATATATAGCCATAGCCTGGACGCACACACACAGGACAGGACAGTGCAAGCGGAAGGCAATATTTTATTCTTCATTCTAAACCAGCACCTGATTGATAAATTGTTTTTGAAATGTGGCTTCGCCGCTGGACAAAAAATTCCGTTTAAAAATATTTATACATATTGATCGCATGTCGACTTCCATAGCAGCAGCGGTGGTGGCAACGACGGCTGCATCTAGCCAATCTGTGGCTGCCAATAATTCCAATCCAATATGTTTATGAATTTGCATATCGAACACAACCGTTCCGATATCATCTGTGTTATGTGAGTGAGTGTGTTTGCAAATGCAATGGATACGATTTGTTAAACGAAACGAAAAAACAAAAGCAACAGCATCAGCAACAATTTTGGCCGATGGCAAAAGCTAATACCTCTAACACAAAACTACTTATTATTATTAACTCATTCCTTGCCGAACGCATCAACCTTCATGTATAACAAATAATACACAAAACCGCAGCAAAATAACAGCAAACAACAAAAAGCCACTGAACAGACCATATGTGGCTAATTCTAGATTATCATTCGGTCGGTCAAATCACAAAAATTCTAGTTTTACTCACAGCACGCTAAAAAGGTGAGCAAAAAAATGTTGCAAAAAAATACAACCACAAAAACCACCGCATCTCGAGCATGGAGTGCGATCACAGTGTTGATTAAAGTGTGCTGCGGAATAGTAACATGCACACATAATTGAATATTAGAAATCATAAATATTTGCGTAGGAAATGAATAAAGTAATTGAATATTATTTTATTTTTTTCGAAGCGATCATTCCGACCGAAATCAAAGTGGATATTCATTCAAAACGTTTCATTTGTCTATTCTTCTGAAAAGTCTTGCTGCTTCGGATTCCATTTCCATTCGCCAGTTGATAGAGTCTATGATATGTGCGCTGCTTGCCTATCAGGTATTTTCAGCTCTTTTTCTTTCTACATTGTATGTGTTCATTGCTCAAGTCGGGTGATTTCAGCGAAAATTGATGAAAACTGCTGATTCTGAACTAGTCTAATCTCTAATGGAGCGCGCTTTTTGTTTTGCCATCTTTTTTTTTGTCTCTTAGTAAAATGCGAATAATTTATGGGCATTGCGCTAATATGACTGAACTTCAGCAAACAGACTATTCATCATGGCCAAAGCACAACTGGATAGCTTTTTATTCTTCGTTTACGTTGCTTTGTTGTTGCCAGTCAATGCCACAGAAGGCAGGCAGACACGCAGGAAGGCAGATATCTCGGGCGAATGAGACTGCGCAAGGAACACGGGGTAAAAAGCGCTTAAATAAAGAGCAGCGAAAATAATAAACAGAATTTGTGCGTATATGTAATCGCTAATAATGGTATTTTGCCTCCGGTTGTAATTGTTTATTGATCCATGGCTCACTCGCCTCATACTGTGTGAGTTTGTGTGTGTATGTGTGTTTGTTCGAGCGCCCGTACGTTCAGTGAGAGATGCTTATGGCCTGAATAACAATGGAAACGTCGTGCGTTTCATTTCATATGTACGGACCTATTAAGCCAATCGATCGATAATATGATAAGCTCTCGCTCGCTCTCTCCCTCTCTCTCTCTCTCTCTCTCTCTCTCTCCCTCTCTCTCTTTCTCCCTCTCTCTCTTTCTCCCTCTCTCTCTCTCTCTCTCTCTTCTCGCGCGCACCGAGAGAACAAATATATGCATGTATGCAAACGAAAGAAAAAAAAACACGATTCATTACTTCTGTTTTGTCCCATTCGATGTGGTGCTCAAGTTTCGATACCGCTCCGCTGTGCAATTTATGCATTTTATGCCAATGATCGATTTTCGGTGATTTTTCTTTTAAAAAAAAAAGCACATTGAAGGAGATGGACACTGGAGGTAAGAAAACTTGATTGTTCTCGTTATGATTTCATATTCGCGATATTTTTTTTGTTGCAAGAAGAATACACATTAAACGTTGACGCCCAAGGATCATTTCATTTTAAACTACTGACTTTCGAAACGAAATTCCACTCGTTTTTTTTTTGTTTCACGTGGTGATTTTGTACTTTGTAAGAAAGTAATGATTTCGCCGCAAATTCTCGACTAACCACACAGTTAATGTGATTTTGGTTCGACAGATAGGCTTTTCCAAACGATCAAATGCATATTTACATCTTTTCGTAACTTTTTTTTTAGTTAAACGAATTCTATTTTTTTGCATTAAATTGCGTTTTTTTTTTTGCATTGAATCTCAAATTGAGTAACTAAATACTTAAAATGTTTGCTCGATAATTTGGTTCTTCTTCCCTTCGTTCAGCTCCTTATGTCGATTCGGAGTGTTGATTCTCTTCAGCAACGATTCTGTTACATTTTATCAGAAGAATGAGTATAATCGTTGATAATTTCATTAGCCGATGCCATTAAATTCATAGATTAAAATCTATATGCCAAGTATAGTATAATAAAAATGGGAAGAACGCTCCATTTTTTGCCATAAATCCATGTTAACAAAACGCTTCGCTAGATCTCATCACCGCTTAGCTATAGCTAAAACATTTTATAGCCGTTCCACATATTTCCATCAATAAGATCAAATTCTTTCTCATGTGTGTATGTCGGTCGGCTGGCCGTTGGGTTTTTTTTTACTTCTTGTTCTTTATAATTTTTATGGCATATTTCATCGTTGATGTGTGAATATCAAGTTCAGAAATTCCAATAAAAATGGCTTCTTGTCAATTCATACATGAAATGCTAATAATCTTGAAAGATGCGCTCGTCGGTGTGTGTGTGTGTGTGTGTCTGTATGTGCGTGTGACATGTTGAATTAATGCTTTGAACCTGTGCGTATATAAGTACATATATATTAACGTTGGCATCGCCTCATTGTTTTTTAGAGCTGCTGCTGTTGTTGTTATTGTTGTCGATTTTTTCCCCTCTGTATTCGTCTTGCTTTGGGTTTTGTCGCTTTAAAAAGAGTTCTTTTTGCGCATTCTTGGCATTTTGTTGCATACGAGCCAGTTCAAGTGTGCGTGAATAAATATCTCTAATTAGTAAGACCAAGCCCATTTAGCGAGTAAGCATTCGCACACGAACATACACTTTCACAGTAAGTCATAATAGTCGCCTCTCGCTTGCGCTTTAACACAGCACAAATGATTCGGTGATGCGAACCAAATGCGAAAGACTGAGAGACAAATGATAAAATGTATCTAGAATGCAATGAGTAGACAATGTACGTATGGAAACATGAAGAAGAAGAAGAAGAAGAAGAAGAAGGAGCAAAGAAAAATAATAAACAACTGTTCCATTCATTATCATTTTTCTTGTCTATGTGTTGCGTTTTTACATCGCTTTAATTTCATCATCGAATTAACGAATTACGAAGCAGCCTGTTTGATTGGTTGCGGTCAACACTTTAACACACTGTCAAAGGCATACATACACACGCGGGCGAGCGTTTGCTGGTAAACACTGCAAATCATTCCGTTGATTTTCAATAAAGCCAAGCAGTAAGCTGAAGAAATGGACGATCTTTTTTTTCCTACTCTTGGTGAAGTTAATGAAGGAATGCAAGCGAGATGAATTGAATGGCTTGGCATTGGCTTTTCAACAGATTGTTTGAACAAACTGATTCGAGTTGCTGATGGCCAAGCGGCTGAAGTGGATGACATTTTTTTTTTCCGGGAACCGTTTTCTTTCTTCTCTACATCTTCACTGATTGAATGCGGTTGATCGATGATTATGTGCAAGATTTGTTTTTAATTTTCATTGTTTTCATTTGAAGGCGTCGAGGGAAAAAACCACGACTTTCCTCTTGAACGATTGAAATTCTTTTTCCACTTCAAAAAACAAGAGATAAGGATCGAAGCACAACGAAATAGATGCTTTTGTTTAATATGTAAATAATACTTGTAATTGCATTTCGAATTGAAAATCCACCAAAATGGTAATAAGCGATGGTCAAGCGTTTATTTTCTTGAAAACGCTCGTATTTAGTGTGATGCTTGAGCAAAAGCAAACACCAGAGAAAAAAAAATCAGTAACAAATTGTCTGAAAATGCGTGAAAGCGTGAAAAATAGCGTCTTGTGTCTTTAAGCCTTCGCTCGCACCAATCATTTTGGATGATTTAGCAAAAAATCCAATTCCAAAGTGGCAGACAGAACAAGGTAAAATTTATTGTAGCATCATGCAGATAAAGAAATCAGTGCATTCAAAACGTCATTTTTCTTCGTCTTGTTGTTGTTGTTATTCTTTGGGTAACCATTTTTTTTTCTTCTTTTATCGCCTCATTCAAATACCCCGAAATGTTTATTTATTCACAAAAGTGCACTTCACTAAACGAATACGCGCGCGGCCAGAATGTGGCCGAGACAGAATGAAACAGAATTTAGGCCGAGCGAACAAGGAATCATCTTATGCGAGATGGATTTGATTAAACCGAATTATTTGTATATACACTTACCAGTATCCATTGCGACGAGAGTCAGCGTGTATTCGGATTGAAGTTCACGGTCGAGTGCGCGCAACAACGATATTTCGCCGGTCGATGCATTTATTCGGAAGAGATCGGCATCACCTTCTTTCAAAAAGTATCGCACTTGTGAATTGAACGGTGGTGTATCGGCATCGTATGCTTTCACCGTAATCACATAGCCACCATTTGGTGGGATCACATTTTCCATGACATGTGCCAAATATGGTGAATCCAAAAATGTTGGGCTTGAATCATTAATATCCATAATGGAAATGGTCAGTTCAGTTGTGTCGAATCGTGATTCGACATTGCTGATATCGCTGGCACAATCTTCAGCCCGGATGGTTAGCACGTAACGTGATTTTCGTTCATAATTCAAATTTTTGGCAACACGAACAATACCCGAATCTTCACTGATGCTGAAGTCGCGATTGTCATCACCGGCCGTTACGGAAAATCGAACACGACCATTTGCACCTTCATCGATATCAGTCGCTGAAACCTACGGAGATTTATGATGGAGATGAATATTTATTAAGAGGAATTATGGATTATGATGAATTACAAAGTGAAATGGAATAAGTTAAGAAGAGTTGGAAAACATTGTATTAAAACTGAGGCATTTTTTGATTTGTTCAAGAAACAATAAATTGATAAGCCAGAAAAATGCTTCAAAAGACTCACAAATCTACAAAGAAACTCAACAAATCTACTCAAACGTTCCACCTTCGCAATTCAATTACACACACTGAACTGAATCAACTCACCTGTAAAACCATTGCACCAATGCTTGCGTTCTCGGCAATGGCGGCACTATATTGTCGCTGATCAAATACCGGGCTATTATCATTTTCGTCCAGAACTTTAACGGTAATTTCGGTTTGTGTTGATCGTGATGGTTCACCACGGTCTCGAGCTGTCACCTTCAGTTTATATGATGAGCGCATTTCACGGTCTAGTCGTCCTGAAATCCGCAACAGCCCATCAACTGGGCCCAATGTAAACGGTACAAATGGTTCAGAGGCGAGCGCATATTCGATATACCCATTGCGACCTTCGTCTTTATCGACCGCTTTGATAGCCATCACAACTGTATTGAGCGGAATATTCTCCGTTACGCTCGTTTCATTCGATGTTATAAACTCTGGCGACATATCATTTACGTCTTTTAATTGAATTGTAACCTAAACACAAGCACAAAAAAAAGAGAGAAAAAAAAAATTAATTGTCTCGTTTGTTAGCACCGCTGCATTGTACATAGTCATTGTTAAATTCCGAACATGAGATTTCCACACATCGATTCCATTCAAGCGACTTCCTTCTCGTTTTTTTCTCTTTTTTCATTATGACTCAGATGCCAAGTCATTTTGAGAAAGAAAAACAACAATACAAAGATATTCACCGGACATTCTGCAGATATCTTGATGTTAATCGCATGATTTTTGTTGTGCCAAGAAAATTAATCAAGAATTTTTCTCTAACGAATAGATTGGCATTAGAGAGGAGCACCAAACATGGTGTCGAAACGACAGAAAAGAGCATCGTTTTTTTTTCTCTCCTTTGCAACATTCTCACCAGTTTTTTCTTCTTCTATTTTTATTGTACTTGAACTATTACCAGTTTGCAACTACAAATTATTAGATTTTGAAACGGAAAATAGAAAAAAACAAACAGCCGATGAATAGGAAAAAAAATCGCAAAACACAAAATGATAATTGTCGATTAAAAACAAACGATTCCGTGGAGAAAATAAGCAGCGATTTATTTTATGTGTGCACACCGCGACTTTGTTGACCATTTAAACCGGTGTAGAAAGAAAAGTTTTTGTGGTTTTAAGCTGGAGCGCGATATGTATACATCGGCTTGAAATGATCCACGCTTGTTAGATGAGCGCTCTCTCGCTTACTGGCTGGTGTCGTTTGTTAAGCCGGATCGAGAATGAGCGACGGCGGCGGCGGTGATGGCAACGCCGTGCTCGCACACACGAGATTCAACAAACAAATATTTATGATGCAATTAAATTTAAAATACGTTTACATGGTTCGTTTCCATAAACGCTCGCACATTCGTGCATTGAAATTAATATATATGATTTTTTGTTTGTTTTATTTTCATGGCCTGCATCTAGAGCCTGATCATCGCAGGCGACGCAAAATAGCTGTGACATCGTTGTTGTGTGTCGCGTTGCAAAGAGCAATCGTAAGTTGTGCTCATTTCCCCTCAATTGGAATCCGATTGACAACGAAATAATTTACGCGTTGCGTTCATTGATATATTGCATCTGGATGTAAGATGCATAAAATGCGATATCAAGACCGAATTGTAGCTCGCTCGCTCGCTCCGTTTCCATTCCAATAATAAATTAGCGATTGATTTAATTTGACTATTTGAAACTTCATTAAAATTAATTATTATTCGTTTCCAGCTGTGGCCGTTGTGCGCATGATTTATCTGTGCCTGTGCGCACGATGCGTCGTTATGGTTATGGCAAAAGTAGGTGTGCAATGGTGGTCGAAATGCGTGTCATTTGTTTGGCACTGCAATTTGCCAATCGCGATTCAATAAAATGTTGCAAAAAATTCGTAATTAAATATAAATTAGACTTCGATTTTCTCTCTGCTGGATCAGCCGTGCGCACGTGGTTTTTTTTTCGTTTGTATTCTACTGCGTTTGCGATAAAAAGTGCCGCTGTTTCATTTTTAAATTTACGAATAAATTCTCTAAAGTGATCAGTTGGGTATCGTGTACGCGTATCACATTGCTTTGAAGTTGGACGCTTGATATGGACGCGTTTGTAGCGTAAAAATCTCAATGCCTCTTGGTGATTTATTTAATCGATAAATGAAAATGTTGTTCATAAATTGTGTTCGGTTGCTTGCTTGCGTCGTCGTCGTCGTCGTCATCATCGACGTCTTCCTACCTGAACGGTTGACGAGAGCCTTTTCTCCGGTTCTTTGGCACTATCACGGGCAGTCACCACTAAATTGTACATGGGTATTGTTTCACGATCGAGTGCGTGTTGCGTTCGAATCGTACCATTGGACAGAATGCTAAAATCATTATTGTCATCGCCAGCCGTAATGCTGTACTCGATGCGACCGTTATTTCCTATGGAAAGAAAAAGAAAACAAATCAAAGTTATTAACGTTGTCAATGTGATTAGATTAGATCTGGTTATTGTTGCTGTTTGAAATCGATGCGAAATTAAAAATCCAAATTCGCGGACATCAGCAGCAGCAGCAGCAGTGGCAGCGGCAGCAAATCGACGATAAACTAAAGGGCAAAATGTCATTCGATTTAGACAAGAGCAGTAAATTATGTAAGCACTTGAATCGCTTCCAAATCACTCTTCTCTGGCCAGTTCGAAGAAAGCATGCGATGAACAAAAACAAAGACGAAACCAAATAGACGAACGGCACATTTCACCATTTGGTTCTTTGATTGTTTGTGATGTAAAATAGACACACGAATGAATGTACACCGATTAACAAATGTCATTTGTGCCGGCAGTGACGGCGACGACGTTGGTGAATGTTGTTGCAACAACACAAATTGACGATTTGACGTGAGACCGTGATGAGACAATATGGAAAGAGGAGCGCAGTTTTATACATCACATACATTGCATTTGAATTAAACGAATGTTCACAACACACACACACACACATACCCAGCCGCGCTTAAGCATTGTTACCCAACGGCCACACGACCCATACACACAACACCATCATCGATGGCTCCAATCAAATGGAACAGACAACGATGACGACCAAACGAACAAACAATTACTTGTGCCGTTGTGTTGTTCTACAAGAAAAATGCTGTTCTTCTTTCAAAGCCGTAAATCGTTCTTCTTGGCCGTTGTTTTTCTTTAGTTTCGGGATGTTTTTTTTTGTGCTGCATGAAAATGGCATCGGATCACATTTACCGTTTTCTTTCATTTTTATTATTATTGCCAACGTAGAATTAGCATAGATTTGGTTTTTCTGTCTCTAATTTTGATTCTTTGTTTTGATGCTCAGTAAAGAATAGTGACCAAGTCATTTGCAAAGTATTTGCATGGGATTGATATGATTGAAGCATGTCATTCGAAGGTAATGCGTGTACGAACTTGTGTGTTTCGGAGAGTAAAGACAATTTTTTGCTTTTTAAAGAGAATTTTGTCGTTATTTCTCCTGATTTTTCACCGTCGTTTTGAAAAAAACAACAAAAAACGCTGAGTGGCTTTGCATCATTTTAACAAAAATAACACGTTGAATTCCAACTAATTAACGTTAAGCGTTTAAAGTTTAAACATGTTTCTTTCTACTGCACAGTAGAAATATTTGAACTTTTGAAAAAAATTCTTTATTTCAATCCGAAAATGTCTTCAAATGCACTTAAGTCCCATCGATAAAAATTATTCCTCCATCATCATCGTAAAATCAGTCAATACAAAAATCTCCATCAGGATGTGAAGCAAATCATTTGATAGTAACGAAACAAAATTTGTTCATAATTTCATGGTGAATATTCATATACGGCTCAAATAAAAGGTCATAAACATGCTGACAGTGCTGTGATACAATCGGTCTCTATAAATGTTGCTGGGTGGTATATTTGTTTATCTTTCTCATTTTCTCGACAGTATTCTTTTCTTTACTCCTTCTCTTGATTTGCCTTTCCCTCTCCGTCCAAAGCATTGTGAAATGAAACACAGACGAGAGAGAGAAAAAACTTCAACAAAACATGCCAAACTACAATTCCGACAAGAAAATCATGAGCATGATTCTACAATATATATGTAGGTAATAGTCAACAAAGGCAAAATCGAGATATGTCAACTGGCGATTGAAATCAACAAATAGGCAAATTCCATTCGACATGCGCGCGCTTGCACTCGCACCCTGCCTGCAACTTGATATTTTGGATCAATGATCCGCGAATTCCGCGCTCATATTCTTCGTTGTAAAAAAAAAGCAGTAGAAAAACGAAACATAAAAAAAATTGTACCTGAGTCAATATCCGTGGCACTAACTGTAACCACATCTTTTCCGATCGCGATATTTTCGTAGATTTCGTTGGAGTAGCTCATCGGGTCGAAAATTGGTGCATTATCGTTCAAATCCAGTACATTGCAATAAACGGTGATGGTTGTTGATAAACTGGGATGGCCATTGTCTTGTGCTTGTACGACAAGAATATAATGTTGTACCTGTGAACGAGAGAAGAACGGAAAAAAACAAGCGTTAAACAAATCGAAAATCAAAGCATTGAGTAAATGTTTATTGTTCCGAGGAATATTTTAAGCGAAAACAACATTTTAAACGAAGAAATCCATGGATTTATTTTTATCTTCATTTGCTGTGGTTTTATGTTTCACATGTAAATGGCGGATGTTCTATTCAAACCGAAAAATAAATAAATCCATCTGGTGTGTGTGGTTTGCGGCATTATCGATTTTATGCGTTCACATTCAGTCATTTTCGTGTGTGTTGTATGCTTTGTTTTGTTTTCGAGTGAGCGATTTTTATAGAACCGTAAAAAGAGAAAATTGCTTTAAAATAAGGTGTTAAAACAAAGCCGCCTAGCATCACTTTATGGATGGTAATTGATATTAATGAAATCGTTTACAAAAAAATAAGCGATGGTGGCAACGCGGCCGCCCAACGAAAAACTTCAGGCCATTGTTCTTTTTTGACAGAGAAGAGCACATTTCATGCGTTCACTATGCTAAATAAGAGGCCAAAACAATATTCTCGCATTTTATTGTTATATTACCATTGGCCGTTGACTATTTTTGGTAAAATTTTGTTGAAAAACAAACCATTTTTTTCGGCTCAATCGTCAACTCGGCTCAATTCATCCGAAATTATTGCGTTTTTTTGTTGTTCATTTCGGCACCGACCAATTTCTCTCTGTTTTGTATTTTTTCGGTTCAATTCGCAGTTTTATCACATCTTATTTATGACAGTCCATGCCATAATACCACAGATTATGAAATAAGCGACGCGCGTATTTTTAGATGGAATGGAATGGAATGGTAAAAGTTCAATGGAAACAAGAAGATCTCAGTGATTCTTACCTCTTCGTAATCCAAACGAGCTGTTAGTGTGAACACTCCGGTTTGTGGATTCAATGAGAACACGTCATTTCCCCAATCGGAGATTACCGTATACGATACGATGGCATTGTTGCCAACGTCTGGGTCGATCGCATTTATGATGCCCACTTGATAGCCACGCGGAGCATTTTCCGGTATATCAAACGAATATGCCGGCTCAGCAAACGCCGGCGGATTGTCATTTGTGTCCGTTACCTAGGAGGGGGGGAGAAAGTAAGAATAAATATTAGATATTTTAGCTATGGTCAAATTCCTGCTAATCGAATCGGCTATTGTTTACAAGAAATATTGGTGATTTTATGCCAATTCTGAATGATTCATCATGTATGTACATCTCATGTATAATACGCAATCCTCTATTATAATTCGCAATGATTTTTATTCATTTTGACTAATTACAAATGAAAACTTTCAATTTCAGGTCATTGAAATCGAATAAATAATCGAAATGAATTTTAATGATTCACAATTAATCGTTGGAGGGAAATTGTTTGTTTTTTTTTTTAAATGGAAAAAACTCATTTTCGGCAAAATCAATTTCGTCATTTCAATGCTTCCAAATTTCTTCATCAAACGATAGCGCCTATTGTCATAAATTCAACGATCTATGGGTCGTTCAATGAATCTCGTTCATATCAATCGAAAATTATCAAATTCAAAGAATGTCTCGAAGTGGAATCGATGAGAGGAAATGCATTAAAAAAAACGCAAATATTTGAATTTGATTCGAATGCGCGCATTTTGCGATGGAAGACGAGACGAGAAGAGGGGAAAAAAGGCACACACAAACCGCGCGACGATTCAATGGTCGATACAAAAATATTCGTACAATGTTTTGGCGGTATCATTAAGTCGAACTGCGAATTGCATACATATCGAGACGAGCGCATCCAATTTTCTAGAGAGAACGAGTAAATTAAAGGAAGGTGATGAGACATCAAGATCGATTTTAGTGGACCTTTTCAAAATGAGCGAGTGCGCGCACGCTCGCACACACACACACACACACATAGACAATCATGGTGACTTTTGTGCGAATTGTGGTCAATTGTGTGTTGTTTTGTGTCCAGAAAGCTCACAAAACTCGTGTAATGTAATGCACACACATACGATCATCAAGAGCATTTCAACCGAACAGAAATCATCATCGCATCGCAATCGCAAAAGGCCATGTAGAGAAAAATATTACAAATGTTGGAATGTCAGAATGGTATTTCGCATGGAGAATGTTTATTTTTGTTGTTTCTCTGTTACAACATATGCTACTGTGGCTCTGTAGATGTTGGCTACAGTGAGCGTGCGAGCAAGCGAGAGAGTCGATGGTATTTTTTGGGTTTTGTGTTCACGGCGTTTCGCGTGTTTGTGCGCGCGCGCGCTTTCGTTCCGTTCTGTGCGTATACTCTTGTCATAATTTGGTTTCACGTTCTTTGTGCCCACTGTTTATTTGTTTCGGTGCATTTTTCTTGCCTCTGGGCTGCTGCCTACCTTTCTGATAATACACTCGTATCAAGTGAACACGAGGAAGAGAGAGAGAGAGAGAGAGAGAGTGACCGATTCAATTTTTCAACTCTACTAAATATTTTAATGTTATCAATTCTTCGCGTTTTAATGCCGCGTGAAACAACTCACACACAGACGACACACAAAACAAAACGAAACAAAACCGAATATTCTGATTATTTCACTTCGATCCATTGCATGAGCATTTTGTGGTGGTTGGAGGGAAAGAGAAGCAGCACACATGAACAAGAGGCGAATGCGAACGATAGATAGAAAGAGAGGGCATGCAATGTGCAACTGTATGATTATTTATCAGTTTTGGAGCCTAAAGACGGGAGTTCTGCGATGTTTGTCGTTCCTCTTAATCGATGCGGGCATAGAATACTAATGTGCGCATCGGTACGCAGATGCATTCATACATTTATCGATCACGATATGAAATGCACGGTGTATTTTATTCCTTCTGATTCTTGGGCTGAGTTTTTTTCATTTCTCTTTTCGATTTTTGTTGTGTTGCGCTTTGACATGCGTTTGTTTTGCAATCGCTTGAATAATAGAGAGGATCCAAACTGTAGTCCGTTGTGACTCAATGGATTTTCAATAGCACGGCAAACATCAAACGGATTTTCTGGTGATAATCTTTACTGGTTTTGGTTTGTTTTTTCTGCATTCTCAATTTTATGTTTTATGAATTGATTCGAATTTGAATGTTCGAATTCAGTTGAATTAGAAATTGGCACTGAATATTTTTCGAATTGGCATTCATTTTGAGGTTTCTAATGTAACTTTAGCTAAATTGTGTTATTTTTTTTAATCTACAACTTTTATTATGTGTTCTTTGTTCCAACATACCTGAACTGAGACAATAGTATCGGTGTTTTGAATGTCATCACTAACACGTACGTTCAATTTGTACACTTCTTTTGTTTCGCGATCCAATGTGTCAATGAGCTTAAGAATGCCGCTGTTTTTGTCGAGTTCGAATTTCTTGTCATCGCCGCCAATCAATGCAAAGCTCAACGATCCGATCGTATCGGGATCGGTGGCTTTAATGGTGCCCACCGAATGGCCAGGACTCAAATCTTCTGAAACGGTAAATACGATCGGTTCATCGCGAAACACTGGTGGACTATCATTTTTATCCAGCACGTTCAGTTTGACCTGGAAAAAATGAAAAAAGAAAATAAATGAGCTTCATGTGGACAAAAGAGAAATAGATAAAATTACGGAAGGAATCTCTGGAAAATTTATTAGATTTCAAGAGCATGCTGGATGGACTCTATGCCCAGCGGCATAACTAACTTATTTGCTAATTGTGTGTATGTCGTAATAAACTGGCATTATTATTGGCTTTTTTTTCCTATCGGAGATGATGGTATGTGTACATAATTCTAATTCTTGTTAACATCGTGTCATGTGCGGTATGTTCATAAATTAACAATACCAACGGGAATTCGTTATTATTTGACTCGCATGGTAATCAGTTTTTGGAATATCGATTCGGTATAGCATCGGTTGAAACGAAGGAGAATAGCTAACGGTATATAATAAAAGCGATTGCGGACGGAGTGCCGGTGATTCACGGGCGGTTAAACGATTTTCCGATTGGTATGGCGCGCAGCGCTATGCACTATTTTGCAATAAAGTTCATATGTTAACAATGTGATACAATTATGATAACGAAAAAAAAAATAGAAAACAGGAATAGAAAAAATATTGGCTATAAACTAGGAGGAAAGTCGATTTGTGTCGATAATTTAATGCGAACAATTATTATACCAAAATAGAAAAAATAACCGTTTCCACGAGGCATGTCGTTAATTTTATTTAATTTTCTCTATCGAAAAATGCCATACGAATTTTGCCGTTGTTGTTTGTTTTTTTTTCTTCGTTGTGAACTGGATTAGGGCGACACAGTATATTCTTCAGGTCGGTTCAAAATCTAAATCGAATAATAATTGCTCAATTAGCATAAAATCGTGCCCAAAAAACCCCGAACCACGTCGCACCGGCTTCACCATCGTCGCCGTTCACCGACCGATGATTTAAATGCTTTAATTTTTGCATCTTTACATCTAATTGCCATTCTCTGTGCATTTCGCCTGTCCGAGATTTTTCGTGTATCGTTCTATTCCGCTTGCGCTCCCATGGAATTGCGTTTGCGAAATGCAGCGCGAGAGACCAAGAGAGAGAGACAGATGGAGGATGAGAGTTGTGTATGTGTCGATCTCGTCACACACACACACAGCCATGCATCGTCGTATTCGGTAATATGCACGGGCACACAGTTCAACCATATAAATTATTCGCAAATTTACAATGTTGTTGTTGTTGTTGTTGTTATTGGCCGTGTGGCTCTCAAGAATTCGATGGTTATGCAAAAGAAAAATCTCGATGCGGGAATCGCTTTTATTCACCACAGAGAAAGAGACAGAGAGCGAAAGACGATAAAAATAGAATAATTTTTTCCATGATTTACCGCTATTCTGCTGCCTCTTTTCTTGTTCTCTCTCTCTCTCTCTCTTCGCTCTGTGGTCATATTTGATTTTGCTGTGAGAGAAAGATTCGGTTGTATTTTGACCCTTTCTCTATCGCTGTGCTGTGCACCGAGCCTTACACTCACTGGCTCAACGCTTGATATTTGTTTTGTGTGGCTCATGCTTTTGTTGCTGTCGTTGACGTCGTCGTCGTCGTGCGCATTTCGATACTTTTCTCTCTTATTTTCGATACTTTTCTCCCGATGTGTGTGTGTGTATCATAATAATTTTCGATGGCCTTTTTTCTCCTTACGTTTCGTATAAATAAATGGACGCTTTTTTCTCTATCTATTTTCTAATTTATGTTTTTTTCCCTTCGTTCTTCATTGAAAATCGATGTAACCCATCATGAGTTCTCGTTTCCATTATGCATTGCAATTTGTGCAACAAAAAATTTTCTCTCTCTCTCTCTCTCTCTCTCTCTCTCTTCCGTCTTCTTTCGTGAATCATGTACTCTATTGGAACTGTATGTATATGGATACATTTCACTTGGATACTATTCGATAGAGCTCTATACCTTTAATTTTTTTCGGAGTGTGTGTTTCTTTATTGTTTCGACGGTGTGCGCTTTTTTGTTGTACATTCTCAACTTATTATTATGGATTTTTAATATTATGTGTGGTGCGAGCGGTGCATGGTTTTTCATTGTTGCGCTATGCCATGCTTTGATTTTAATCAAACGGACTTTTACATTGTTTACACAGAGAACATTTTCGATGCCATTTTATTAGGACTCGATTCGGGAGAGGCGCACACAACAGATTCGAACGAGAGTTTTTTTTTCTTCAGAGTTAGTATCAGGTTCTTGACGGTTTTTTTCTCTCTCCGTAATTGTGCTTGGTCGCATAGCATATAATGATGATTGATCTGTAAAATGCATCTAAAATACACTTCAAATACTTGGGACGATCCATTTTTTATTGTAAACGTGCCACTTTTTTCGTCTTTCTATCCTTCTTTCGCTATGTTTCTCCCTCTGCTGTCTCTTTCACTCGAATCCACATTCACTGACAGCGACGACACCGACGATATCTTTCCCATATTGCATGATGATTGGCCAGGCCTTTAACGAAATGGCATGATATTCCACGAGAGAAAGAGCAAAAAAAGTGCATATACACACGAAATTCGTAAATGCTCGCGCGAGCCTCATTCGAATGGTGGCAAATCTGCATCTGTTCGCCAAAAAAGAGATGCGAACGCGATTGCATCGGCAAACAGTTAGATGTTTATTTATATGCTGAATGATTAACCACAGTGTGTCATGTCGATACTTTTTCTTCAATTTCTTTTTCGCCTTCTTTCAATTGGGTGGAACTTTTTGTGGTGCTGCTGCTGTTACCACAGGCAGCCGAGATAAAGGTCTTTTTTTTCACTGCGGCTGCTGCTGCGTGAATGATTATAATCGATTGAAAAACGGCCAGACAACCGGCCGATAGTACCGTTTTGTTGATTTTTTTTTTCACGCGCATGTGCATGCTACGTTTACACCGAAAAATACGCGAATACCTTTTTCGCATGCGATTCTCTCTATGCAGTCACAATGTAGGTTGATTCTAGAGAAGAAACACAACTGAGCTTGCATGTGACGCAGACCGAGCACAATGCCTAGATGTAAAAATTCGTTTTACAGCAAAATGTCTAAGCACGGAAAATCTGGACGGTTCTTTTGTAGGCGGTAATTTACTTGTCCGACGAGTAGCGCGATCAAAATGCGACAGAAAATGTAAATTTGGTCGAAAAATTATGGGTTTTGCATGTTTGTAAAGCAGCAACAACTCAACAATTTTCTATCAAACAAACGGCAAAATATTTCTTTGATTCGGCTGGCGTGAAGTATCGCTTATCATGCAATCCATAAAACACACACACAATGGCGCACGCGTGTGTGTCGATTCGGCATCCTACGATCCAATTCAATCCAATCCAATCCGATCCATTTGTTATGTGAGATTGTGGGAATGCCATGCAACGGATTTCTTTAACTTTGAGCATTGCTTCGGGTAAATGTTACAAGTGGCCTGGATGATGCTGAAGTTTCGGTGTGGTCACCGGTTTATTTTTTTCTTTCTCTCTCTCTCTCTCTCTCTCTCTCTCTCTCTCTCTCGTTGCCGTTTAAATTAGATTAAAATCATTAATTTGTTTTTCGGGCGAGTTGATATTTGGACAAAGCGGCCACAAATCAAGACACCCTCAAGCCACATTTGACCACACCCTTAACACTTTGATTACTCACTGTATGAACCATGTCAATGGCAACCGTCGATAATCTTCCGACAGCCAGCCAAATTCAGCGGCATCTTCTTAAACACGTTATATGATATGGATATGGATATGGATACGGCGACACCGTATTCGAAATAAACCGAAGAATTTCATTCTCCGCTTCTCAGTTGTAATGATCTTTTGAAATAAACATGGAATTATTACATTAAGGTGTATTACATAATGGATTGTCTGGGCGAGATGCTGGCATTAAGCACCATCGCCGGGGCCCAACCAAATGAACAACACCAAAGTCAAAATGAACCGAAAATCGAAAAACTCAATTAATCATTTTTCAATGAATGGAATGTGCGCGCCTGGGACATCATTTATGTATATATATGAGCCTGAGAGATGCTCATCTGTGAGTAATTAACGAATTCGAGTACGATTTTATTTCATTTCATTTTTCCCACTGAATCCGAGTGCCAGCAGAACAAACAAATAACTCGCTTTTTTATGCTGATCGAAAATCGTTTTCGGGCGCTTACTCGGGGTGGAGTTTTTTCTCTCTCTGTATCTCTCAATCTTTCGTTCGCTCTCTTCATTTTTCTTTTATCTTCATATTCACCGAAAATGGTTTTGAGCGCAATCGAAGAAGATTTATCGATTTTCGTTCTGTTTTTTTTTTTTGCATTTTGGAAACGAATGGAAATGCCGTGGTTTTAGCGTCGAAGAAACGGCAAGATAATGATTCAATTTAGGGCATCAACGGACTTTGTTCGAAAATCAAATAAATGCATGTTGGGGCAGGTTTGAAATCGATATGGTTTGTCATTCGAATAATATTTGTCTTGTCCATTTGTCTATGGATTTTTGATTTCCACCGCACGCATTGAATTTATTCGACGGACGGAGTCGATCTATTGTTATCGTGAGCTAAGAGTATAAACACATCGAAAGAAGTGACGATTTATTCGTCCCATTTTTTTGTCGTAACTTTTTTAATGTTCATTTTTCATCCAAAATAAGCCTATTCACAAATATTCGAATCAGTTAGGAACGAATCGAAAAAGTAGGAACCACGGAGATAAATTCATTTTAATGAGTTAGAGTTTTACGACATTAAAAAGTTTTGTGAATGTCTCTATTCAGGCTAGATCTGATTTGTCGGCGAATATCAGTGGAAGACAGAAATAGGCTAATAAATATCCCGCCGGGAGATTGACTGAATAACAACGTTTATTTATAGGTGGAATGCATTTAAATTATTAATGTCTCTGTTGTCGTGACTTCTCACCGTTTACAATCTCCTGAACCAACCAACTGCACCGATTTTTTGTGATTTAACTTGTTAGTCATTTTTCGGGGTGTTAAAATCGATTTCATTTCACCTCATCATTGAACGAGAATGGACAA